TGTTTTGAGGGGGCTCAAAGTAGTGGGAGTTGGTGATTTTTATTGGCTGCTCTAATTTTATGTGTTTGAATTTCATGAACCCAAATGATAGGAATATTCTTTCCCACAAGCCCATCTATCACCAGTCATATTCCTTCTGGGTCTCCTCCAGCCCTGGGCAGATGTTACAACTTGGAGTCAACAGGACTCGGCCAAGGTCTTAGCATATTCCTGAGTGAGCGTCCAGATACTTCACTTTCCTCGTCTGAAAGGTGCAGTGAGGACCATACCACCTCAGGGTGTGTGTGAGGAGGAAGTGCTCAGCACAGAGCCTGCCTGGAGCCGCCAGCTCCCATGAGCCCCAGGCACATCATCTCCTTGGAGAATGAGGGCAACAGGCTGAGAAATGAGACCAAAGGGTCCTCTGGACCAGCGGGTGCAGCCAGTGACCTCAGCAGCTCTTCTGCGTGCAACCCTAAGATGACCAGGGTTTTATGGACAGAAGTGGGCCCTGGAACCTCATTCTGTGATGGGCACCCTTATAGTGGAGCCAGGAGGACTTTCTCTGTCCTGAAAGACAGGTAGTCCTTCAGAGCCAAGCTCCCACCTTGAGAAAATATACTAACTGCCATAACTCAGTCTTTGTGCATATCCCAGGCTGTGAGGCCAAGAGTGGCCATGTGCACCTGTTTACAGAGCTGCTTCTCCCTGTACTAGGACCACCCAGTGTCACTGGGCCCTTGGGGCCACCGAGGAGGAGTGAGTGGTCAGGATGGAACCAGGTGTGGTAGGGCCTGGAGGGAAGAATGACTGGGGCAGAGTCAGAGAACAGGCTTGGCCTCTGGCCTCCCAGATGGAGACCCAGGGTGTCTGAGTGCCTCCCAGGTTAATCCCACCCCTCAGGGCCTTCCCAGCTGTCTCTGCTGCCCACACCTCTTGTTACTTTTGGATCTGAATGTCCCCCAAAGTCTCGAAGCTTGGTGCCTAGGTGGTGGCACTATTGAGAAGAGGTGGAGACTTTAGGAGGTGGGGCCTGTTCAGAAGAAGTGGCTCACTGGGGGCATGTCCTTGAGGGTATTGGGACCTTAGTTCCTTCTGTCCCTCTCTGCTTCTTAGCCACCATGAGGTGAGAAGCTCTGCTCTGCCGTGTGCTCTCCACTATGATGTGCTGCCTCACCACAGATCCAGAGTGTCGGGGCCAAGCAATCTTGGATAAAGTGCCACCACCTAGGGACCAAGCTTCGAGACTTTGGGGGACATTGCAGATCCAAAAGTAACAAAGGTGTGAGCAGCAGAGACAGCTGTGAGCCAAAGTAAATACTTCCTGCTCTAAGTTGTTTGTCTCAGGCAGTGTATCACAGTGCTGGAAAGCTGACTAGCACACAGAGTCGGTGTGGGAAAGTGGGGTCAGAGCCTCTGGAGGTGGTTTCCAGGAGGAACTTAAAAATTAAGAGAAGCATTCTAGAAAAAGCTTAGAATGCCATGATCTGAGAATAATGGGCAATTCTGGTTGGAGCACATTAGCCAGAATGCTGATAGGAATGTAGACATTAAAGACTGTGTTGAGGGGCTGGGGATGTGGCTCAAGCGGTAGCGCGCTCGCCTGGCATGCGTGCGGCCCAGGTTCGATCCTCAGCACCCCATACAAACAAAGATGTTGTGTCCGCCGAAAACTAAAAAATAAATATTAAAAAAAAAAAAAAGACTGTGTTGATGTAACCATAATTCTGAGAAGTTTTTTTTTTTTCCTTAAACAAACAAAAGTATTCCCTTCAATTCCCATGGAAAGATGTTTTTCTTCAAGTTACTTTCTCCTCCCCTGTCAACCTCTTCCCTACACTACCCCATCTCTTTCTCATGGTATTGTAAATTCTAAAGAAAGCCCTCTGCAAAGTCTTTCCTCACCTCAGCTCAAAAGGTAATTGTGGATCCAAAAAGAAAATGCAGACGCTGGCCCCAGGAGGTCGAGGTTCCCTTTAATGTGGTAAGGAGGCAACAGAGGTGAGCATGCTCTTAGAAGAGGGATTTTCTGCCCTTTGAACCACTGTGCCCTTATTCCCCCCTCTAAAAACTGCTCTCATAAGCCCCCAAAGATGGAGATCTGAGACCAAGCCGGCTTCGAGGCTGTTTCCTTCAGCAGTCTGTCTCCTGAGCTTTTGTGGAGCGTGACAAGGAGTGGAACCTTCCTTCCCAGTTACACTGATGAGGTTTCAGGTGAACAAGGACTGTTGGGAATTGGACCAGAGGCCACACGGATGACACTCTGGCAAAGAACTTGTCTACATTTTGTCCATGCCCTGAAGCTGTGTGAGGCTGCATTTAAAGGTGATGGACTAGTGTTATTTTTTAATTTTTATTTATTTATTTATTTTTTTGGTGGGGGAAATTTCAAGGCAGCACAGCATTCAAGCTACAGCATGGGCATTGTTGGCTGATTTTAGCCAGGGTTATCATGAGAATTGTGTGCAAAAAAACATAGCAGAAAGATTTGAAAAACTTGCAGTTTGGCCAGAAAAGAACCATGTGTAATTTGGGCCACCGAAGTTGTGATTGCTGAAGACTTAAGTTAAAACAAAGCCAAACCAGTCACGGTGGCGTAGACATGTGATCCAAGTGACTTGGATGGCTGAGGCAGGAGGATTGCAAGTTGGAGGAGAGTCTGGGCAACTTAGCAAGACCCTGTTTCAAGATAGAATAAGCTAGGAACGGTGATACACGCCTGTAATTCCCATGACTCAGGAGACTTAGTGAGGCCCTCAACAATTTCGTTAAGATCCTGTCTCAAAATTTAAAAAATAAATAAATGAAAAGGTTTGGGGATATGGCTCAGTGGTAAAGCACCCCTGTGTTCAATCCCCAGTACCCCTACCCTGAAAAAAAAAGCCCCAAAAAGGTAAAATTAAAAAGGAGGCTGGAGATGTAGCTTAGTGGTAGAGCACTCCTGGGTTAAATCCCATGTATCACAAAAATTCATTCATTAACATAAATAAATGCCAGGCTGGGCACAGTGGTGCACACCTATAATCCCAGCAACCTGAGAGGCTGAGCCAGGAATATTATAGGTTCAAAGCCAGCCTGGGCAGATTAGCAATACCCTGTCTCAAAACACAAAACAAACAAAAAAAGGACTAGTGATGTAGCTCAGTGGTAGAGCACCTCTGGGTTCGATTCCCAGTACTAGGGGAAAAAAAAGTTAAAGAAGCACACTTGTAATCCCAGCTACCTGGGAGGAGGCTGAGGCAGAAAGTCTGCAAGTTCAAGACCAGCTCAGCAACTCAGTGAGACCTGTCTCAAAATTTAAAAATAAGAAATGGTTGGGCTTGTATTTCAGTGGTAGCATGTAGGAGGGTCCTAAATTAATTCCCAGCACCAAAACAAACAAGTACTTTGCATTTGCATCCGAACAACAGGAAAGATATTTGAGAGCGCCTCAGGAATGGGCCAGTAAAGGAATAAACTCCTAGGAGAGCGTGCACTGCTTACACAGGGCCACACGGTCCAGGTGGGCCCTGCTGCTGTTTCAGCTGGTGGCAGATCTTGGCACCATCTTTGTGATGCTGGTTTTGCAGGAAGGCAGAATACAAGCATGGCTCCCTGGCCACCAGGAGGTAAGCAGCTCTGCCCTGCCACATGCTGCGCACCATGCTGCTGCTTCTCCACAGGCTCAGAGTGATGGGGCCGGACAGTGTGTGGCAGGGTTGGGACCCAAGCATGAAGCCCCAGGAGGGTAGGGTGTGAAGCTGCGAGAGAAGTTAGAGATGCCAGGAGCATGGCTCATCTACCAATGAAAACGCAGGCAGCAAGCAGAGCCAGCCCAAGAGAGTGGCCCTCTGGACTACAGATGGCAAAGCCCAAACCCTTTAGGACCTCACCCACCCCCACAGCATGCCCCAGGTCCAGACGTGCAGCTACAGGACTCAGTGTTTGCCTTGCTGGGTTTTGGTCTTTCTTTGGTCTGATCCCTCTGTGGTTTTCTCCTACTCCTCCTTTTCAGAATGGAAAGTTCACCCTGTACCACTGGTATACTGGACATATGTAACCAGGTCTGTTGTTTTTTTAAATAGGTGCTCACAGTAAAGGTTTGCCCGAGTCTCAGAAGAACTTTGGATGTGTACATGTGTTGCTAGGATTGAACCCAGGGGATCCTAAGCACTAGGCAATGTTCTGTCACTAAGCTATTTTATTTTGAGACATGGCCTCGCTTAGTTGCCTAGGTTGGCCTAGAACTTGCCATCGTCCAGTCTTCGCCTCCCAAATAGCAGGGATCACAGGCATGTGTGCCATACCTGCAGCATCTTGGACTTGTGAGGAATGCTGGGACTGTCGAGACCAGGGGATTCTTGGAGACCAACTGAATGCACTTTGCAGGGTGCGACGGGCACCTGTCTCTGGAGACCTGGGGTGGAGGTGGGTGGGGAGTCTGGCTCTAGGCGCCCCCCAGAGGCAAGGTGTTGAAGGTTTGGTTCCAGGCGGGTGATGCTGTCAATAGATGGTAGGAACTTCAGGAAGTGGGACTTCGCTGGGGGACCTGTTAGGACTCGCTCTCCTCTCAGTCTGCTCCCTGGCCACCAGGAGGTAAGCCGCTCTGCGCTGCCACATGCTGCTGCTTCTCCACAGGCCAAGCAGCCACTGACTGAAACCAGGACCCAGAATAAACTGCTCCTGCTTTTAAGTTGTCTGTCTCAGATATGTGTCACAGTTGTGGAAAGCTGGCTCACACACCCCCTGGGGATCGCAGAGACAGGCAGGGTGCTGTGCTCCACCTGGGAACCAAGGTGCCGTACCCCAGCCTGGACATCTTCCCAGGGAGGGGAAGCTGCCAGTTCTCACTCTTGAGGTGGAGACAAGAACGGGACAGAGGCCTGCACCCGACCATCTAGAGCCTCTGCCCTCCCTTCTCAGTGAGAAAACCTACCCCTTCCCCTCCCTGCTCCTCCAAGGAGTCCTGACAGGAAACACCCCCGCCAGGGTCTTGGAGGGAGCCTGGCCCCAAATGAACTACGGGGCCAGGAAGCCATGTGTATAAATATATAGGCTGTGTGTTTATTATACAAAGGCATCTGTGTATGTATATGTCCATGCACAGCTCAGGAGCACGGTGGGCAGCCGGGCCCAGCACTGGGAGCAGAGCCTCAGCCTGGAGCAGGCCGGAGCCAGGGTCCCTTCCCGGAGGCCTGGCCACCTTGGGCCATCACTGGAAGTCAAGAGTCCTGTTGCTGGGGACGTAGAGGGACTGAGTCTGGCGGCTGCGGCGCGGCGTGGCGTTGAGAACATCCACACTTTTGCGGCTGGAGCGCACGACGTGGGCCACGAAGCTGGTGCAGTCACTGCAGACGTCCTTCAGGGTGCAGCCGTGGGCGTAGATGTGGGGGAACTCCTCCTCCACACTTCGCCACTGAGGCCCCTGCAGGGATCTGGGGCGGGTGGGGACCCAGAGAGGACTGTCAGGCTGGGGAGCCAGCAGGGCTCACACATCCTGGGGGCCCCTGCAGTCCCCTAGGCTCTCCTGCTGCCTGCCCCTCCCCTTCACCACCACAAACCCACAGAGACTTGGGGAAGCCACATGCCTAGCAAAAAGCATCCCAGCAGGGCTCTGGACAGGAACTGGAGTTCTGGGTCCTGACCACCCCAGTTCAGTTTCCATCTCACCACTCTGCCTCCCCACCCCTCCAAAGCCATCTGAACTACACCTCCAGGGGGCGTCCTCACACAAGGTGAGGCCAACCCTGCTCCTGCTCCCAAGTTCCTGCAGAAGCCTGACCACCACAGACACCAGCACCCAGGCCAGGGAACACACTGGAAGACGTCTCGCCTTGGCGCCGTCGCGGTTTTGGCAGCGGGTGCCCTCTGAGGACTCTCAAAACCCAGTGTGTAGACAGGGATGTGTGCACACTTCTTAGAAGGCATCTTCATCTGCAACAGAGGGAGGCGTGGCAGGCCCCACAGGCACTCTGGCCTCACACCCAACAGGACCTCCTTCCTGTCACACCCCAACAGTGTCTTCTGCTCAATGAGAGAGGACTTCTTGGGAGTGGGAACTGTACCCCTTTATACCAGGAAGGGTGCAATGTGAGCCCTGGACACAACCGGTGTTCAACACTGGGGGGAGGAAGTTGGCACTGTCGAGGGTGGATCGTGAGGAGGGTGTGAAAACAGGTGGGCAGAGGCCCTCCTCAGCAGGCTTGTTTCCAAGCTGAGGCCAACGGACACGATTCTGAGCGACACTGTCTGTTCACCTGGGTGCAGACTGCATGTCACCATGCCACAAACGCAACAACAGATCTGGGGGAAGGCACTCCCAGGAAGGAGGCTTCAAGAGGGGCGACCTCCTCACATGGAATGCTCACTGCTTCCTAAAAAGCCTAGCAGGCTTGGGAAGTGTGGGGCAGGGTCTGCCTGGAGGAAGTGATGGCAAGGTGCCTGTGGGGCTGGAGCGCTGGTACACGCCCCATCCCAGCTGGGAGAGACCCTGCAGATCCTAGGAGGTCCTCACCTTCACGCTACAGGAAGTGCAGACGGCTCTGGAAGAGAACAGAGAGGCAGTGAAGAGGCCCAGGAAGGCACGACTGCCTCCAGGCCCCTGTGTCCCACCCCAGACCCTGCAACTACCCGTGCAGTCTGCCTGATGCCAGGTGGCTCTGGGCTTTCACGGTTCACTCCTGGCTCTTTCTCTCCTCCTCCTGGTCTCCCACCCAGGGCCCCTCAGCCCCTCAGTTTGCTCCTGGTGCATCTGGCTGTAGTCTTCATGCACCTTCCATACGGGGGTGTGCCAGACCCGCCTCACTGAGAAGCACCGTCTGAGCACAGGCCTCTCGCTGAGATGCTCCGTTTCCAGCATCATTGAACATGCTTCTAGTCCAGTGCCCAATGCTATACGGAAAGGTTTTCTCATAGAAGATTCAAACATCAGAGTTACAATTTACCCACCCACAGAGGTGATCTCTGTTAGCAATACAGCCTTCATCCTCCAAACTATTCTAGACAAACAACAAAACCTACATGATATTTTACAAATGGAAGTGAGGTACTGTGTAAGCTATTCTATAAAGATACACCAACATCTCTTCTCCATAGTGAGAGAAATCATCCAGACTCATTTTTTAGAACAATGGGCTATGTCCTCTGGAATGAATGTCCTACATTGATTTTTCCATCAACAAACCCCTGGGTTGGGGCTGCAGACTTGGCTCAGTATTGGAGCATTTGCCCTAGCATGTGCCAGCCCTTGGGTTCCATTCCTAGCACCATATTAAAAAATAATAACAGGGGCTGGGATTGTAGCTCAGTGGTAGAGCACATGCCTAGCATGTGTGAGGCACTGAGTTTGATATATATAAATAAAGGTCCATCAACAACTAAAAAAATATTTAAAAAAAATAATAATAACAGCCAGACACAGTGATGTACAGCTATAATTCCAGCAACTCGGGAGGCTGAGGTAGGAGCATCACAAGTTTGAGGCCAGCCTCATCAGCTTAGTGAGTCTCAAAGCAACTTAGCAAGACTCTGTCTCAAAATAAAAAATAAAAAGGGCTGGGGATGCGGTTTAGAGGTAAAGGGCCCCTGGGTGCAATCCCTAGTACCAAAAACTCAACAATACATTATCATTAATTTAAAAAAAATGTTTTAGTTGTTGATAGATCTTCATTTTATTTCTTTTTTATATGTGGTACTGAGAATCGAACCCAGTGCCCCACACATGCCAGGCAAGTACGCTACCGCTGAGCCCCAGCCCCAGCCCCAGCCCAGTTGTCAATAATTTTATTTTTTTATTTTTTGTTTGCCTGGCAATCTCTGATGGGATACCAAATCACTTTTTTTCTTGCGTATGTTTTGTTCCTTTTATTTATTTATTTATTTATTTATTTATGTTATGGCCCTGGTACTTGCGATCCTCCTGCCTCAGCCTCAGTTGCTGGGATCAGAGGTGTGCACCACGGCACTCGGCTATTCCCATTCTTCAGCTGTGTTCTGGGAAACAATGAAGATATTTGGAAGCAGTCTGGTCCTTTCAGGTCTTTCCATGATAACCTCTCAGGCCTGGAGAAATGCTGAACTCCAGTGACTTGCTCTACACCTGTGTGGCAAGACCCCCCTGCCTTTCCGCCCCATGCTCCAAAATCATGGCCCTCCAGCGGTAGCTAGTGGACACCGACGTGGCACTTGGCCCTGAGTGCCCATCACTTTCCTTTAAGTCTGCATGTGCCCCTGCCACGTGGTACTGGGAATTGAGCCTAGGAGGGCTCTACCATGGAGAGACATCTCCAGCCCTTTTCATTTTTATTTTTCATGGAGCCTTGCTAAGTCGCCCAGGCTGGCCTTGAACTTGCGATCCTCCTGCCTCAGCTTCCCCAGTCACTAGGATTACAGTATGTGCCACCCTGCCTGGCCGTTCCACTGAACCTTTAGGACACAGGGAAGCAGACATTTCTGTAAAGGGCAGGACAGTGAACATCTTAGATGTGGCTAAATGAGAAATGTAAGTGCGTGGCTGTGGGTGTGCTCCGACTAGCTTTACTCACAGAGCCAGCGGGGAGCAGATGGGCCCGGGGGCTGCTTGCCAGGGCCTGCCTTAGGATGGATTGTCCCTCGCTTCAGCCATCCCCTTCACCTCTCCTCCAGCGGCTCAAGGAGACTTCTCTGGGGGTTTCTGTGCGGCTGTGCCCTGAGAACTCCGCGGCCAGTCCTCCCTCCAGGCTCAGCCTTGCCTCCTGCCCCGAGGAGGTCCTGGCTCAGACCCCAGACCTAGATGCTTCCTGAGTGTTGCCAGTACCCTGAAAACCACCGCTTCCCATTCCGCCATCTTGTTCCAGCTGGAAGGGGCCTGTGACCCCATCTGGGTTGAAAGTCAGAGCCTCTTGGCTATTTAAGTTTAAAGTGATTTAAATAGAACTCAAAATTCCATTCCTCAGCCTACTTTTCCCCAAGACTACCATCTTCTGGTCATTAGCCATAGGGAGGAGCACGGAGGGAGGAGGAGAGACCCTCACATGTGGTCCTCCTGGCCTCGAGAAGCCAAGGAGATGCTGCTTCACACCTCTGTGCAGATCTCCAGGAAGGCTGGCGTTGCGACACCATGGGAAGGGTGCTACTGAGAAGAAAGGCCCACAGAGTTCCTAGGCAAACAGGAGGGTCCAGGGCCGACCCACCTGCCCACAGAGCCACCAGGAACAAGCAAGTCAAGGGCAGACTCCTGCCCAGAGGGCTCCTGTGTGTCTGGCTAAGAGCCCAGGCAGCTTCCCACAACACATGAAGGAAATCGGTGCCCAAGAGACAAGTCCCTCTTTCCACTGAAGCCCCTGCCTGCTCTGCCCAGGAAGCCCACTGTGGGAATCCAAGGGGGGAGGCTGAGTCCCACAGATCCACCCATAATAGATGCAAAGGAAAAATACCTCCTCAGTTGCACTGACCAATCTCAAGGACTCAACAGCCATGGCATGTGACAGAACATCCCACTATCATGTGGGTTGCCCACCGCAGGCCCACTCCCCTTCCTCCTTGTTAATTTGTAGCCAGGTGCACTGAAGGCTCACCTCTTGCAGAAGAGACAGGTGGGCGGCCAGGAGAAGAGTGGGAACTTGGCTCGGCAGCAGCAGCAGATCTGTGAGGGAAGGCACGCTGGGGTTCAGCTGTGTTCACGGCCCACCAAGGTCCTGCCCACACTGGCCTGCCCCTGACCTCCCATCAGGAGAGATCCCGCCTTCAGCTGTCCCCAGGCCCTACCTTCCCCCTCTTCAGGCTGCTGAAGAGCTCCTTGTCCTGGGCAAACTTCTCCATCTCGGCCTTCACCAGCACACGACGCACACCCACCACCTCCTCCACCGTCAGGGCCAGGCTCTCCACGGGGTGGTGGAACTCCTGCACAGAGGGTCCTGCTCACTCAGCCCAAGAGCTGGGCCCCGCCAGCTGCATCCCTTCCCTGGGGCCAAGCACTCTTGTGGCTTTCTGAAGTCAGACAGCTCCCGCCTTCTCTGAGGAGGCTTTGCTGCAGCAAGACTCCCCTGCTGGCTCTCCAGCTCTCTGTCCCCACCCTTGGCTGCCCGTGCTCCCCAGCTCCCCAGCTGCCTGAAAACACACACCCTGGGCCAATCAAGACCACCAGAGGACTGGCTGTGGTGCCCGCCCATCACCCCAGAGACTCGGGAGGCTGAGGCAGGAGGATGGCAAGTTCAAAGCCAGCCTCAACCAGAGAGAGGCACTAAGCAACTCAGCCCTCTCTCTAAATAAAATACAAAATAGGGCTGAGGATGTGACTCAGTGGTCGAGTGCCCCTGAATTCCATCCCAGGTACCCCCTCCCCCCAAAAGACTGCCAGAGTCCATTTCAAATCTTCCTCCCCTTGGAAGTCTCCAAACTGAGCTCTCTTTCCTCTCCACTGACCACGCAGTAGGTGCCCTGTCCATCCATCAAGGCACGGAGTAAGCCTGGTGCTACCTCCCAGTGCTCAGCCCGGAACTCGTTGTGGACCTCACTGAGCTTCACTCCTCTGTACATGGGGTGGATTTCAGCTCCTTTGAGGTAACATATATAAAGCCCATAGCCTGGTGCTGGCACACAGAGCTCAAAATGCCAGCGGTGTTCCCAGGGCCCAGCCTGTGAGTGCCAGAGACAGAGCTGGGAGGGCGTCAGGTCTGGGTCTTCAGCAGGCCGTCCGTGAGGGGCCTCGTGGCAGGGGAGAGGATCTGGACCCTGCTTTCTTGTCCACCTGGCCTAGAGCCTCTGGCTTTGGGTCCAGCTCTGTGCCATTGCCGTGGCCAGGAGTTCTGCTGTCAGGTCAGCCGTGGTGGCCTGCAGGCAGGGGGGCACCGTGTGCCACAGCTAGCCTGGCAGCCACCAGCTCTGATGTCGATAGTCAGACTTTCCAGAAGCACTTCCAGAATGTCAAAGCTGAATTTTAAAACATGTCTCTGATTCCTGGACCAAGAAGTGGTTCTCAGTTCTTCTCCCCTTGGGAACAGGCTGGATTTGGTGACTCACGTGCAGTGAATGGTGGAAGCGTGTCTGAGACCTGATTGTCAAATACACTGCAGCTTGCACCTGGCTCTCTCTTGGTCCACTTGCTTGGGGGACGCAGCCACCACGTGGTGACGATGTTCACGGCCCCCCAGGCTCTGAGTGGCATCCCAGACAGCCTTCAGTGACACTGCAGCCCCTGCTGACAACCCAACTACCAGCTTGGAAGACACAGCCAGGGCCCTGCTGGGCTGCTTCAGGATCTGACATTCAGAAGCTTTAAGGAATAACAAATATTGATTTTTTTTGAGGGGGGTGTACTAGGGACTGAAGCCAGGAGTGCTCTACCACTGAACTACATCCTAGCCCTTTTCTTAATTTTAATTTTTATTTTTTGGTGGGGATACCAGGGATGGAATTCAGGGGCACTGGACCACTGAGCCACATCCGCAGCCCTATTTTGTATTTTATTTAGAGACAGGGTCTCACTGAGTTGCTTAGTGCCTCGCCATTGCTGAAGATGGCTTTGAGCTCACGATCCTCCTGTCTCAGCCTCCCTAGTTGCTGGGATTACAGGTGTGCACTACTGTGCCTTTTTTTATTAAAAAAAATATATGTATATATGTATGTGGCATTGAAACCAGATATGCTTAACCACTGAGTCACATCCCCAGCTCTTTTTATGTTTTACTTTGAGGCAGGTCTTGCTAAGATGCTTATGGCCTCACTAAATGGCTGAGGCTGGCTGGCCTTGAATTTGTGACCCTCTTGTCTCAGCCTTCTGAGTTGATGGGATTACAGGTGTGTGCACCTCATCTAGGCTGGCCTTGAACTGCACTCCTCCTGCCTCACCTGGGATTACAGCAGTAGCCCTCACACCTGACAATAAATGTTAACTTTTTATACCTTCATTTTGCTTATTTGTTTTTCTGTGGTGCTGAGGATTGAACCTAGGGCCTCACATGTGCTAGGCAAGCAAGCGCTCTACCACTGAGCCACAACCCCAGCCCATAATTTTTTTTAAAATACTTATTTTTTTAGTTGTAGGCAGACAAACAATCTTTATTTCATTTTCTGTGGTACTGAGGATCAAACCCAGTGCCTTAAGTGTGCTAGACAAGTACTCTACCACTGAGCCACAACCCCAGCCCCTAAATGTTAATTTTTAAAAAGCCAAATGGGGATAACTGTTTGGGGAGTAGGGTACTAGAGACCGAACCCAGGGCCTGGCACATGCTAAGTCACGCCTACCCGTTTATTGATTGATTTGTTTGTTTATTTTAAAAAACTTTGGTACCAGGAATCGAACCCAACGCTCTTAGCCTCCCTAGTTGAGGGAATCACAACCCCAGCCCTTTTTACTTTTTATTTTGAGACAGGGTCTCACTAAGTTGCTAAGACGGGCTTTGACTTGCAATCCTCCTGCCTGAGCCTCCCATGGCTGGGGTTACGGGCATGTGCAGCTAGAGAAGGAATGTTAATGCAGGGACAGATAACTAACCCCGAGGGGCAAGGATCACCTTCCAGTTAAAATCAACAGCACTGCCTTCCTTTCACACAGAACACTTTTCAAAGCATTTCCACACCCATTCTCAGAGGGGGGTCTTGCTGCCAACCACACCTAGCACCCCTCCACCTGCCTGAGTGCCTCTGAAGCTCCGTTCATTCCTGTCACCTCGCTTGACAGAATCATATGTTGACAGGTCTGGGGGCGGGGCCTCAGCACAGGGGTAGGCAGAATCTCTGCAGCCCCCTGCATCAGACTTGGTCTCTGCTGATAGACCGAGAACCATGGAAATCTTGGCCAGGTTAGGGTCTCCTCTCTACCACAACGTCTCTCAGCATAGGTGTTACCCAGAAGGGCTCACAGGGCTCACAGCTGCCTCAACTCACACTTGACCCTTGGGGTCACAGTGCCAATGTGCCCAGCAGGGGGGCAGCAAAGACCAATCTCCCAGACAGCACCAGCAGTACAACCCCAGGCTTCAGGGACAAGGCCAGACCCAGCCAGACCCCAGGAATGGAGCCTGGGTCTCCCTAGCACCAGCTGGTGTTCAGACATCATAAAGATTCACCCAAGAGGTCCCCAAAGGACCGTCACTCACCAACCACAGGTGCCTGGCATCTGGTGCAGAAGCCTCAAGTCCGTCTGCTGAGCTCAGGCTGCTGAGCTGGGGGGAGCGGGGATCTGGCTGGGACTGGACGCTCACAGGACAGGAACCTGAAAGAACACAGGCCTGTGAGGGTCACCTGGCGGAGTGCTGGTTGGAGGGCTGAGGATGAAGGGGTGGTAGGTGCCTCTGTGGGCTAGGATGATCAAGTTGAGCCAAGTAGACAGCATGTCACCCAGGTGGGGACCTGTACCCCAGGGTCCATGCTCTTCAGAGCCCCATGACAAGCCAACATTAAGCACCCATGGTGCAGCAGGCAGTCTGAGCACTGACAGGCACACACAAGGAGGGTCCCCGGGCCACAAGTATGCTGCAGGCTCCAGGGCAGGAGGAAAAGGGACAGCTGGCCCAGGGAGAGACCTGGTCAGCACACGGTGTAGAAAGGCCTGGCCCAGCCTCCGACCCGGAAAGGCAATCATCAGGACCCATGGGTTGTCCCGAGAGTGGCCAGAAGGCTGCAGGGCTGCTCAGGGGACCATGCAGGCAACAAAGAGGCCTGGCCATCCCTGGGGGCTGACAACCTGCTACCGGACAGCTATCAGAAGAACTAACCCTGCATGGCCAGCAAGCACCATCCGATGCTCTGTGTACTCCAGCGGGAAAGGAACCGTGGAACGACCCACATGCCTGCGAGGGACTCCTGCTCCTGTCCACAGAGAGGACGGGGAGCTGGCTAGTGTCTGGCCAGGCAGCTTCCCTGTGTGGGTCAGCCGCCCTGAGATACAGTGAGGCTGGAGAATCGAGTTCTTGAGGAAATGTTTTATAGTAAATGAAAATGTCCTCAAGTGAGAAAGGGGGTGTCAGTGGGAGACTGAAGGTCTCATCGCAAGCAGCAGCTCCTGTACCCTCGGGAGCTGCCTGCTCAGGAGGGCACGGGACTGAGCTGCCCTGGGCAGATCTGAGGGGAAGGTCAGGCAGCAGGTGGGAGCAGCACTTGCCCTGGTCTCGGGTGCTGGGTTTCCAGGTGTGCACGCTGCCTGCTCGGGGCCGGGGTGGCTCCGTCCCTCCTGGGGGCTGTGTGGCTGGCTGCAGGCCAGAGGCCATTTCACTCCGGAGCTGGGCCAGGTCATGCTCCGAAAAAGAGCGGTCCCGTTTCAGCGCCACCTCCCCACAGGGAGACTCTTCTTCCTGCAGACACGTCAGATAGAGCCCTGCCCTGGCCACGATGCTCCCAGTGCCCTGCCCATCCCTGACCGAGGCACCGGACCCAGGGGTGCTACTAGGTCCACAGACACCCTAGACTGTCCTCTGCCCACTGCTGGGCTTCCCGTCTACTGGAAAGTTCATAGCAAGTGCCTTAAAAACCCAACCCTCCCCTGAGGTCTTTGGAAAGTCCCGGAGAGATGTACAGGGGAAAGCTGAGCCCACCAAGAGGACCACCACAGGAGTCATCTCCTGTCCTCTTGGGAAGGGGAGGGCTGTGATCAGAGGGCAGCCAGAGTGACAGCTTTTCTTATCAACCAGGGACCGATTAGCCTTCTGGCCCCAGATGATGGGTCACATCGATTCTCAGCCTTTTTTTGCTGTGGGAAGAAGTGGTCCAAGGCCACTGTCCCAGCATCCCAAAGATACTTCTGAGCTGCCAAGACAGGATAAGGGTCCTCAGCCCCCCTGCCACCACTGGCCAGTAGCCCTGGCAGTGGATGCCCCACCCAGCTGAGCACTGTGGCCCCCTCTGGTCCTCAGGAGTCTCTGTGGGCTCTGACCTCAGATGTGGTCATCTCCTCCATCTCAGCCAAGGTGGGTGCCTTGAGCAGGACTCGGGGACGCGAGCGCTGCACACTGCTCCCAGCATCGGGAACGGACAGGTTGATGCAGGAAGTGGACTTGACATCCCCAGAACAGGCGCTGAGGATACAGGGCAGAGAGCCGAACCCTGGGAGGCAGGAGGCCAGGCAGTGGGACGTGAGTGGGGAGGAGGCGCACAGGACACGTGCGGCCAGCCCTGGAGACAGGGTTTGGGAGCCTGAGGGTGGGTCAGCCACTAACGAATTGGACACCCAACCTGAGGGGCAGTGCAGGCTAGCTTCTCAGAGACAGAGTACAAGGACTGCAGATCGTCTCCACTCTTACCGGGAAGATCAGGTCTCAGACATCTGAATAAATGCCTGATTCTCCCAGACCCCAAAACTTCAGTTTTATCTTGTTTTCTGCCTGATCGCTGAAATGCATCATAGCCAAAAGTACAAAGTCAGGCCAGAACCCAGAGGACAGTCCGGGCGCCTGAACTTCACAAGGCCACACTACAAACGGCACGTCCTCTGCCCCGGAGCTCGTGGAGCCGACACCGACTCCTGATCTGTGGCGTGACCAGGGGAAGTGGGGGACTTCATCCAGGGCCACGCGGGGTCTCTTCTGCCACCACCCCTCCCCTTGCTCACCACGGGTGCCCCAGCGCTGGTCCCCCACGGGGCGCAGCCTCCGCTCCTGCTTGATTTCTTCCAGGATCTTCTCATGCAGGGTCCTCTGCTTCTGTGGCAACGGGCGCAGCCTTCTCTCAGAGACCTGCAAAGAGGACGAGGCACGAGGTAGGAGGGGCTTAGACAGTGACGGGGACGCTCAGGAGTGGGGAGATACTCAAGGTTCACAGAAGACATGGCGCTAACTCTTGGCTCTCCAGGAAGGAGTGCTACCCCAAAAGAGCTCTGCCTGCAACAGGCATGGGGTGAGGTGACCAGCACGATCCTTCTAGAAGGACGGAGGCCCGGGGCCCATGCCCAACCTTCCAGCCAGGAGACAGGGAGCAGCGCCCACCCCATGGTTCAGCAGAGGTATGCTCAGGTCCCCCTTGCAGGTGAGACACAGGACAGCACCAGGTTCTGGAACGCCCTGCAGGAGGCACAGCATTGGCACCTGCTTCAGCGGAGGCCGGGAGCGGATGAAGTCCAGGATAAGCTCATGTGCATCCTTCTTCACTCGTGGAGGGATGTCCCCATCGACCTGCCGCAAAGAAGCCCAAGCTCAGGCCAGGGCGAACCTGAGTTCGTAGGGGTTGTCTGCTGGTGACTGGGAGGGCTCACTCAGCCCCTGACCACAGCCTGGCCTTCATTTCTGACCTGCCTCTGATGGCATCGGCTCCCTGGGACCAAGCTGTCTCTGGGACTGATACACAGCAGGTAGTCAGCTACAACCTCCAGTACTCACACTCTAAGCCCAGCCATTTGATCTCTCTGTACCTGGGATTCTTCTAGAAAGGATCTAGTACCCACCTCAAAGGGTTGTCACAGGAATGAATGAACTTGTTCATTTAAAATTCTAAGAGTAGCTGGGTGCTGTGGTACATGTATGTAATTCCAGCAGCTAGGGAGGCTGAAGCAGGAGGATCACAAGTTCAAAGCCAGCCTTGCAACTCAGTGAGGCCCTAAGCAACTTAGCGGAACTCTCAAAATAAATAACTGAATGAATAAATAAATAAATAAATAAATGGTGCTGGGGATGTGGCTCAGCAGTAAAATTGATAATAATCATAAAATTCCAAGAGTGGCATCAGCCCATGCAAGGGCTGCTGGGTGCTCCTTAAGTGGAATAGCCCTGCAGCCTCAGTTCCAGGCTTCCCGGGCGATCCCCATACTCCCCATCTTCTTTGTCACGCTGTGTCCCCAACACAACATTGAGCTGTGGGGCTCGAGGGCCACACCTGCCTTATTCAGGACCTGGGTGCAGTAAGGGCTCAGTGCTCAGCCTAAGGTGCAGGGCCTCCAGCAGAGGCGGGCAGGAGCTCGGCGCTCACCATGACCTTGCGCAGCTGGTAGTTCCTGGCGCGGATGTCCTGCATCAGCATCTCGAAGGGGGTGAGCTGGAACTCGGTGGGCAGGGGGTTGAACTCTTGCTCCTGCACCTTCTTGAGTTTCACCCCATGGCGCAGCTCCCGCATGAGCTGGACCCACAGCCGGGCCTGCCCCAGAGACAGACAGGGCCCTCAGCCTGTGCAGCCTCCCGGCCCAGCCCTGGGGCGACTCTCCTGTCTTACCCAGTCTGTGTGTCCCAGGTTGTCCAGCTCCGCCGGCGGCTTCTCCACCTGAGGCTCATCCTCCCCCAGCTTCTGCAGCATCTGAGACCACACATCTGGTTAGTCCAGAGAAGGTGGGAGGTGGCAGACATGGGACCCGGGCTTCCTCACCACACGGCCACTGCTCACCAGCTGAAAGGGGGCCTGTGGAGTCCTGACCCCGGCTGTGGGGCTCAGGAAGATGTCTGGGAGAACCATGCTCTCCACCTCGGAACCATACAGGTACCTGTCCATCAGCTCTAGGGGGCTCCTCCTGGGCAGGGGCTGGTGAGAACCTAGTACCCATGTGGCACCTCCTCCGGTCTTACCCACATACCCCAGGGAGGTGTGGCAGGGGTGGGAGCCCCCATCTGTGAGGGGCTCCCCACTTTTGCCCAGACCTCAGTGCACACAACACCTCATCAGGGGCACCTTGGCCAGCGATGGCCCACGCATTCTCCTGAGACATTCACAGCTGCTTCTCCACCACGATCCCCACAGGAGGCCACATGGAACCCAGCGCCTCAGAACCTGCAGCTGGACCTCCCGCAACGTGGCACAGGTAGGTCCTCCAACTGTTTGAGCAGGTGGTGGTGGGTGCAGGCCAGTGTGGTTGCCAGCAGGTCCCGGGAGGGTCATTCCCAAACCAGGAAGAATGCCAACATCATGGCCTCAGGGACTGTCGGTGACTGTCGTGTGCTGAGAATTTGGGGAAGGCTGCTGGAGTACCTGCCTTGGTTGCCTGCATCCCAGTGGCAGCCTGACTGCTCTGACTCCCCTGTCCTGGAGCAGCATCTGCCCTTCAGCCCACAGCCACTCTTGACCCAGGCAGAACCGGTCACCCTGGCTGCACCCCAAACTACTTGCCAAATGGCTCTGAGACACTCGAGGAAGTACGGCCAGCTCAGAGAAGCACCAGGCACGCCATTCTAATAGCAGTCCCCATGTGGGACCTGGCCAGCCCCAGTGGCAAAGGGCAAGAGGGTGGCTCTCCCATCCTGAGCAGGCTGCTTCTCTCCAAAATGCCCGCCTAGACTAGCACAGCTGCACCCCACCGAGGGACCTGGTCTCTGTGCCCCCTACCACCAGTTCCCTGAACTTCAGGCCAATGGCTCGACATACAGAGCTGTGTGTTCCTGCTAAAACAGGAGCCTTGCTGTTTGGGCGAGAAACTGAGCAGCAAGACACAGACTAAGTTCAAAGAAGGATGAAAGCATCAGGACCACCAACTGTCTGTGGAGTTCGTGGGAGAAAACGCCTAAGATGTCAAGGAAGCGCTGGAGAGAAGGTGGGATGACCACAGGTACTGGGCACGGCTGGCGACCTCCCCATCTCGGCGTGTGAGAGCTGCAGGGGAGGCTGGCAGCTCAAGCCTTTTCTTAGGACCCATGGGTCAGTGAAGCTACCAAGAACCCCTCTGTATTAGAAGGAAAGAGCACCCAAAAAGGTGAGGGTGGAGTCAGGGACCATACCAGTTAACTCCCAAAGTACCTTCAATCACCTAAACAAAGGAGTGCAGCCAATCTCTGTGACCTCTGCAGGGACGGCTCTCTCCTCGGTGGAAAGCTGATGGGCCTAGGGTCCCTGCACTTAGGAGACTGCCAAACAACCCATCAGCTCCCTCTGAACAGCACAACTCCTCCAGGAGGCGCGGAGAGCAGACTGCACACCATCCCCGAGGTCCAGGGGGAATCAGGACACCCCAGAGGACAACTGTGGCTTGGGGGCCCAGGGAGACCAGCCCTGCCCTATACTGGCTCTGCAGCTCCCGGCAGGGATCCAGCCTCCCAGAATCTGCGTCTGCCCACCTGCAAAATGGGCCCAACCTTAGAGGGGTACCTGGAGAGCAAGGCCAGGCACAGCACACACCCACAGGTACCCCCACGGAACTGCCCACCCACCCCACCTGAAGGATCCGTGTGGTTCTGAGTGGTGGGAAGGGGCTGCCATTGGCATTGTCTTCAGAAGAAACTGGGACCTGGGGAGCAGGTGGGGGCAGCAAGCAGGACTCCCCCACAGAATCATGGCAGCTGGCTTAAGGCACCAGGAACGAGGCTCGGGCAGAGGCTAGGAGCCAGTTGCTGCTTCCCTAGGCCTTGGTTCCCTTCTCCGAAAACCTGGCCAGAATGTATGAGGCTTCAGCACACAGCCCAGAGCAGCTGGGGCATTCCCGCCCGAGGGGCAAGGTACCCACTAGTCACCCACCAGATCCCCTTCGGGTCTGGCCATCCGCGGGCCCCACCTTGAGCACTGTGTTCCCCAGCTCACCGCTCACCTCCTTGGCCTCCCGGACCCTGGCTAGGAAGGCCTGTAGCTCCAGCGTCTCCACAAAGAGTGCGCGACACACAGCCTGGTAGTGGGCCTGCGCGCCCCGAGGGTCGGTCAGGCGCGCAGCGCACAGCCGCATGGCCTGGGAGAAGGTGCGCAGGGCCCGGGGGCCACCGTCTGCAACCTCCTCCTCCTCCTCTGGACCCCCGTAGCCCTCGTCCGCTGCCCCACAGCCGCTGTCCTCGCAGTCGCTGTTGGCCATGAGGTCGATGAGCCGCTCCAGCTGTGGGCTGAGCTCGCGCTCCTCGCTCTCGTCCAGGCCCCAGTCCAGCGCGCGGTAGATGGCAAAGCCCAGCGACTGCACCATCTGCAGGACAAAGAGGGGTTGGCGGCAGGTGGCAGGGAACAGTGCAGGGCGCCCCAGAGCTGGGCAGGCTGCCAGCCCCTTCACAGGCAGGGAGAGGCTGGGGAGACGGACAGTGGCCAGGCCCAGTGACAGGCCAGGAGGGAGGAGCCAACGGCCACTAAGGGGAGACACCAGGTACGATCCGGTGAGGGGCATGACTGAAGGGACTGCCCGCGGCACACCACTTTGCAGAACAGCTTGGCCTCTCGCGATCCAACAGACCAGTGCTCAGCCGCTCTCTCCAGGTGCTGAACTGACAGGCCCAGAGCGTGGCCCCTGGAACGCTCTCCAGCTGAGAGTGGGACCGCATGGGGACACTCACAGGGAATGCTACCACACAGCAAAGAGGAACTGACACGCAGTCCCCTCACATGCTGATCCCAGGGACAGAATCGGCAGAGAGTCTCAGGACACACGTCCCTTCACAGGAGCTGAGCCTGATCAGATGCAGAGGGTCAGGGGCTCCCCACAGGCGTCCTCACTGGGGTGCCACTGAGAGGTGTGGACTTCCAGAGGTCCCACTGCAAGGTCTTCTGCTGCAGTGTGCCCTCGGAGGGAGAGTGGAGCCAGCCTTCCCTCCTCTGCCCTGTGCTCCCACCACGAAGTCCTGAGCCACACCGGCCCAAAGCCACAGGGCCAACTGCCCCGGTCAGAAACTCGGACACTGTGAGCCAAGGAGAACCTTTCCAGGTACTTGAGTCTCAGAGGCGGAAAGCTGGCTGACCCCAAGCCAGACATGATGAAGTCTGACCTGAAAAGTGATCGCACTGGAGTGGGTGGTGGGTGAAAGGAGGGGATCACCAGGCAGGTGGGTGGCACCCAGTGCCGTGGCGCTCGGTGAACCAGGGACCCGTGCCGTTCTGCCTGCTCTGGATGTGCTTGAGGCTCTCCGTGTTCTGCGCCTGTTGTTTGGTTTGGTTTGTGGCACTGGGTCTGAACCTCGGGCCTCCAGCATGCTAGGCCAGCCCTCCACCTCAGCTGCACCCCTGCCCACGGGAAGTGTTTGCCGTTCGTTGCTTTTTAAGCACATTTTTGAATTCGAGAGGCCTCTGGACTCAGCGCCTCTCGGCTGGCGTGGCAGGGAGCCCTGTTCCCCAGTCTGCCTTTAGGGGCCTGGGGACCAGAGGTCCTGTGGAGGGCAGCGGGTCCTGACACCGGTGCACTGGGCCTGCCCTGCCCTGCATCAGGTCCTTGCTCACCGTCTGGACGGCCATCTTAGGTGACGGCCGCCATTTTGAGAGAAAAGTTTTGCTTTCCTGCCCAAGGACCTTTCTGAGAAAGGCTCACCGCTCCCTCATACCAACCCTCATTAGGACCACCCAGCTCTGATTCCCGAGCCTCCCCCGTAAAAGTCCCAGAACCCAAGCCTGTTTGCCCTCCCCCACGGAGAGGGCCGTTATCCGTCAGCTCTGACAAGTGAACTCAGGGTGTCTCTCTGCCTGGCTCCCACTCTCATCCCTTGCTTACCCGCCTCTCCTCCCTTCACCCTGGCCCACGTGCTCCCTTGGAGGGCTGGGTGTGCTCCAAGCACTGTGACAGGCCACCAGCTCTGCTGAATGCAGTGGACAGCAGGGCCACCCCAGCCTCAGTCTCAAGGTGGCCCACACTCTCCCCTGAACGCATCACTTCTTCAGGGAGCCTCTGTCGGCGCCTTTGTCGACTCCTGCTGAAATTCTCTTCCATCAGGTAAGTGAAGAAACCATGGTCCCAAGTCTAGCTCCCCCTTCCCTCTGGAGACGACTCAGACCTTTCTCCAAAGACGACTCTTCTCTATGGCATCTCCTGGTGACCTGCACAGGACCTTCACAGGCACTGACTTTGCAGATATCTGGCCACCAGTGACCCTGGGTGGGTGGGGAGGACTGGCAAATGATCATCCCAGCTCCATGTTCAGAAGATGGCAAGAGTCCCATACTTGAGGCCAGCATCTGCCTCCTTCAGAAGAGTGAAGGAGGAGACTTCTGATCCCTGACTAGGCATGGCCATCACCCCCTGCCAGCCTGAAGCAGCCACAGAAGACCGGTGTTTAGCCAGGCTCGGTGCACATGCTTGAATCCCAGCAGCTAGGAGGCTTGAGGCAGGAGGATCACAAGTTCAAGGCCAGCCTCAGCCACGTAGTGAGACCCTGTCTCAAAATGAAAAAAACAAAATGGGCTGGGGGTGTGGCCAGTGGAGAAGTGCCCTTAGGTCAGATCTCCAGTGCCAAGGGGAAGAAAGAAAGATCATCACCTCTCACAGCCTTAAGACTAAGGGTGCAAAGTTTCTGGGGGGATAAGATAAAAATCTAGGATGAAAAAAGGTATATACTAAGTCTCAAAGGAACCGCCCAGGAGCCAGGAGAAGCAGGGACCAGAGCTGTGAGTCTTGAGCGATGCGCCCTTGGAGCATGCCCCGTGGAAGGAGGAAGCTCAGAGCTCCACCCTGGGCCACCTGCAGTCCTCTATAGCATTGCCCGGCCCAAGGCGGGACTTCTCATCTAGAGACAGCCCACTTTCTCCCCTGAATGGGTCTCTACTTCCTGAATAAACCTCTGTTTATTTAGGAAATCGTGCAAAAAATATAAATAAATAATGACACTCCTGCCAGGTGTGGTGGCCAAATTGATAATCCCAAACAGGAGGCTGAGGCAGGAGGCTCACAAGTTCAAGGCCAGCCTGGGCAACTTAGTTAGACCCCTGTCTCACAATGAAATGAAAAGCACGGGGTACAGCTCGGTGCTCGCACTCCCTAGCCTGCGCAGGTCCGGGCTCATCCCCAGCATACGACCTCCCTGTGATCTGCTGGGCATTGCTCTTAGTGCTAACGGACTTTCATGCTTTTCTTTTATGACATGGATCAAAAGGATGCATTTACGCAAAGACACTGTCCCAGTCGGAGCCTGGGCTGAGCCTGGTGTAACTCTTCTGCTTGGCTGTGGACAACCCACCGACACCATCTCTCATCTCGCAGTTTGGGGAGAGAGGCACAGAGAGGTCAGGTTGCCTGGGCACAGCTTGCAAAGAGCTGGGCCAAAGCTTGGCCAGGCCTGGGTCTGCTGTGTAGAGTCCTCAGCCTTGTCCCTCACAAGGAGGCCACTGCCTTCTCCGGGAACCGTCTGGGTCACTGCTTCAGGGCCTCTAGCTTCCTGTGTGCCCACCTCTGGGAGCCTGGGGGGCCAGGGCCTGCGCCATGCCGAGCAAGAACAGGGGCCAACCCAGTGCCAGGCGGAGGGCCAGCAGGCGTGCAGGGCGGCAGTGGGCCCAGGGTGGCCCCCTGGAGGCCACCTCAGCATGTCTGTGCTTTCTGCAGACGAGCATCAGGGACACAGCTCCAAGCCACACCCTAGACTCGAGAGCAACAGCCACAGCCACAAAACTCTAGCAGAGGGTCACACCTGACAGGTGCCAGCCCGAACCCGGCCCAGGCAGGCGGAGCCCGGGGTCACGGGGCTCCAGCAGGGCCTCGGTGCCCCTCCTGGGTGCCACGGTGACGGCGCAGGCAGGAGTGACAGTCCCCACGAATTCCCAGTGAGCCTTTCTGGCCTCTGGGTAGGTGCCAAGAATGAGCGAGGAGGTCGGAAGGGCATCTCACTCCTACTCCGTCTGCCTCGAGCTCCAGGCTGGGCCACTGTGTGGCTCTGACGGTCTTTCTCATGCAGACCACCCCACCCCATGGACAGGAGGACAGACTGAGGGCACAGGAGGAGAGCCCCTCTTCCTCCTGGCCTGAGCGAGTGCCACGCTGGGGAAAGTGCCACCTGCAGTCCAGTCTTGTCCTCTCTCTTGTCAGTGAGAGGTCTTCTGTGCCTCCAGTCACGGGAAACTCTCTGGAAGTCAAGAACGCTCCTTCCCACAAGGAGGTCTAGGCAGTCGGCCAGGCTCAGAACCTCTAGCCATGCCGGCATCCCAGCACTGGACAGGCTCAGCAGCCTGGGCGTGGTCAGAAGCCGCAGGGGTCCCGTGGCACCTCATGCAGCCCGAGTAGCCCCAGTCGAGAAGAGGTGCAGGCAGCTCCCCTACTGGGGCTACTCGCTCTCAAGTGAACCTGGGGCCTCTGAGAACAATGACCCTGACTGGACGACTCCCATACACCGTTGTTGTGAATACTTATAAATTCTTAGCTGTAGATGGACCCAATACCTTTATTTTAATGTGGTGCTGAGGATCAAACCCAGTGCCTCACACATGCTAGGCATGTGCTCCACCACTGAGCTATGGCCCTAGCTCCTCTTTATGAATCTTTTTAAGGCATCCTTTGGAAAGTTTTCAAGTAATAGACTACTTGGGGACTCTGCACAGCAGGGGCCAGCTGCCACCCAGGAGCACTGCACTTGGGAAAAAGAAACTATCCAGAATATTATGCAGTCATGAAAAGGGATGACTAACCACCCCAGGGCAATGCAGATGAGTCTTGGAAACCACACACAATTGTTTGAGGAATCTCTATGTAGGATAAGAACGGAGCTGGTAAATAAACTCGGCAATGTGCTACTTAAATGGCAGTATTCCAAGGTGAGGGACTATGTGAGGTGAGACACACTGCTAGTTTCTGGGTTCTCAACAACAGATGGTATATCCTCTTCTGGTCTGTGCCCACTTCCCCCTGAGTGTGCCACTGTGTTTACTATAAAACAGGTGTTATATTAGAGCAGTGGTCTAAAGACACAGAGAATAACCAAATCCAGGACGCGATCTCGGGGCAGGTGGGTGGAGGAGGAAGGGGGTTTGAGATGTGGGCTGGGTGGGAATTCCTTGGCTTGTGTCCTGGGCTGGTTTTCCTGTTTGCTCCTGAGACCCACACCCAGCCCCCAGCATTGTGCCTGTGAGGCCAACCAGGCAGAGGTCATCACCCACTTCCCTCTGGGTCAGTAGCAACTCCTCCCTTGCTCCTGCCCCAGAGCCCTTGACACCCTGCTGGGCCCTCGCCGCCTGTCTTCTGTGCACAGCTTCCTCCCAGGCCCCGCGAGGCCCTCTGGGTGCTGCACTGTCCTGCCTCGACGAACAACTACAGGACGTAATATGGTCATAGTTTCCATTTCACGACGCAGGTTCACTTTCACAGTATCAAGTCGCCTTTAAAACTGTTTTAAGTACCTGAGCTTCTGAGCTGGCTGGGGACACCATCGTGGTTGTGGGCTCTGCAAGAAAAGACAGCGAGTCAGGTTCCCTCAGCAACCCCAGGACCCAAGGACAGGCTGCTGCCCCTCCCACAGCTCACCATGACCCCAGGAGCCCACAGACAAGCGGCTCCCCAGCACCCCTGCAGCTGCGATGGCCACCCTGGGCCCCCAGCCCCATTTCCCTGTAGGAAAATACAGTAATCCCCCCATTCTCCAAAGGAACCCCAGAAAGTTCATTGCCAGCTGAGCCACCAGGTCACTTGCAAGGCCCTTTAGGAGCCAGCTCTGGGCAGGACACCTGGGTGCCAAGAGTGACTGTCCCTTTCTGCACTAGAGAAGGCAGACCCCAGTGCTCCCCAGTGACTGCTCAGAAGAGTGGTCAGCAGTGCTAGTGAGTGGGTCCAGGTGCTGGGGTCCAGGCCTGCTTGGAGACAGAGGAGAAAGGAGGGAGCAGCTCAGGTAGGTGGTGTCTGCAGGCAAGAAGCCGTGGTCTGAAGTGAGAAGCTGTGACGCTGGGAACTGAGGTGGCCGGCCTCCAAGTTACACTGTCAGAAGAGACTTGGGCTCAAAGGAGCCGACAGGCTTTGCCTAGTGGGAATGTCCACCTTGGACTGCGACTCCTGGATCTGAGGCCCACTACAAGCTCAATGTGAGACTGAGTGGCGCCAGGTAGTGAGTTGGCATTCTGCAGGTGCTCATCCATGTCTGCCGAATCCAACCCAGGAAGTGGGTAGCTCAGGCACCCATTCACAGATGAAGAGACAGAGGCTCAGAGATGACCTCCTGTGCTCCAAGGTATCACAGCTAGTGGGGGGGGGGTAGTGCCAGAGCAAGGCAGGGGGACCCCAGAATCTGTACCACCAGTTGCTGCCCAAGCCCCCCGCCCCCCAGGATGCAGAAACCCATCCACACATGCGACGTGCAAGGGGCCTTGAGTGGGCATGGGAGCTCATTGCCTTCACTCCTACTAGAAAGAGGTGGGACGTGGGAAGACAGACCTCAGGACGGTCTCTGCACGAACCTGCTAATGCCACAAACACTTTCAAAACGCCATCAAGAACCAGGAAGATTGCCCAAGATAAAGGAGACTGCCACCCACTGCAGTGATGGGAACAGTCCAGGCCAGCATCGGTGAGGTCAGGAGAGGCCAGCAGTGTGCAGCAGGCCACAGGCTCCTGTCCTGGGCCAGCGTCCTGCCTGCTGGGCAGTCAGGGAAGCCAGCAGCCACAGCTGGCTCCAAGCCGTGGCAGGTAGAAGCACCCAACCCAGGACCGAGGTGCTTCCTGGAGGCCAGTGCTGGGTCATGCTGCTGGTCGGGAAGGGCAGGAGGGGCTGACCGGGAAGGGTGGCCAGCCCTTCCAAGCTCTGCACACTGACGGCACACGCAGTCTAGCTCTGCAGCCAGCTCTCTGTGGAAATGCTCTCAATGCTTGTGTTCAGCATATATTAGCAAAAACAAAAACAAAAAAATCATGCCACAATCAAAGTGTCTGTGAATCTTAATTGTTTTAGGAACTCTCCAGGGTTTGATGAGCAAGCTGGGCCTGCTGAGATGGGGGATGAAGGAGATCTCTTGGGGAGGCCAAGCTCGGGCCTCCATGAGGTTGTCACAAAACTCCAGCAAGTTCCAGCCTCTGTCAGCCACTTTGTGGGGGTGGTGCCAGGAATCCCCCTCTGTGGTGAGGAAACTGGGGCTCAGGCAGACTCAGAGATTTGCCTGAGTCCACCCAGCTAATAAACGGCAGAGCTGGGTCCCCACCAAGCCTGAGCACACTCCTGACCCACCCACCCAACAGTCCAGGTGTAACTGCCCAGAGCTGCCCTCACTGGAGTAGGCAGAAGCAGACGGAGGCAGCAGGGACCCAGGAGATCACGTGTCTATGGTGAGACCCCCAGAGGGGAGTGGTGGTGGGAGCCTGTGTCTTCGGCCCCGGCCTTCCAATGTAGCAGGTCGGCTTCCCGAAGCCTTGCCACCCGGCATGACACCACCTGCCACTCACTGTAGCACCTTCTTACCACAAGACACTGGAAACACACACACACACACACACACACACACAGGAACAGGGCATCCTGGTGTGGAGTGGGAGGGCAGAGGGCAGCTCTAGGTTTCAGAGCAGAACCTGTGTGCTGGTGTGCGTGAAACTTCACACTGTGGCTAAGAGGCCAGTAGGTGGGGACCATAACACAGGGCTCTGGGACGCTACTCTCTCTGCAAGTTCTGAATTTGGGTCTTGTGGACGCACTACAGAGTCAAGAAATCAATTCGTGCCAAAGGGTGCCATTCAACGTGCAGTACTGCCCTGTCTGAGAGGTGGGGTGGAGCCCAGAGCCAGCAGACTTTGGAACCAAACACCCTGTGTGTTCCCAGCAGCCCAGGGTCTCCACCACCTCGGTCCCCTGTTACGGGGAGACACCACCCCCATGATCACTGTCAGGGTGAGTGAAACACACCCAGTGTCGGTGATCTCAGAGCTTTCCACAAAAGCTCATTCCACAGTCAAGACTCTAACTGCAAAACCTAGTAGGGCCCGAGGTGGAGCGTCAGCCTTCAGGAGCCGGAGGACGCCCACAGCTCTGTTTGTTCAGCAAACACAGAGCTCTTTGGGTCAAAGGGATACAGGTGTGTCCCTCCTCCTGGGTCACTTCTGCCCATCCTTGGGCTGAGATCCGCACGATTCTCCACACACTCCCCAGGGGCTCCCCTCAGTCCACTGGGCAAGGATCTGAGAGGAGACCCAAGTCAGGGGATTCGAGAACCTTGGGTGGAGTGTGGATTCTACAACCACTTGGAACATTCCTGGGCCCCGCAAAGATCTACTGAAGTGGAATCCGTGGGAGGGACCAGTACAAGGTGGTTCTGACCACTGGGGTGGTTCTGACTGTTCAACAGGTGTAGTGGGGCCCTGACAGCAGAGGGTGGGGTGCAGAGACCTATCAAGGAAGGTGTGCCAGGGTTCATGTTCCATCATATGTAAATTTCACATCAAAAGAAGGAATTACAAACAAACGCTAAGCTCTGGTTAACAGCACACATGCTGAAGTATTTAGGGGAAGTAGATTGATGGGTATCCAACAATTTCCTGGAAATGCATCAAGAATGAGCCAGGCGCCATAGCACACACCTGTAGTCCCAGCCACTCAGGAGGCTGAGGCAAGAAGATCACAAGTCCCAGGCACACCTGGGCCATTCAGCAATACCCTGTCCCAAAAATAATTTTTAAAAATAGGAAAAAAAAATAAAAGAAGAAAAAATGGAGAGCGACATGACACCCAGATGTGAGGGTGGAATTGGGAATGTACACACCTGCAGGCCCCCTGACTTCTGCGTGGCATGGCCGGGGGGACACAGGCGGCAGACGTAGGCAGGACAGCCAAGAGCTGACCTAAGGAAAAGGCTATTCTGGATCTATACCCTCTCAAAACAGAAGAGAATGGGTTTGTGTCACCTCAAGCCAGAAGGTTGTGCAGATCTGTCCTGAAGCCACAGGTGCCCACACTCTCCTTTCTGCTCACCCCCCAGTCCCTGGAGAGGACCAAGGCAGATGCACAGGGGGAAAGTGGGATTCCCTGGGAGTGGACAGAAGCCGAAACAGTGGCTGGGAGCTTCCTCCCGCTGCCCAGGCCCCCCATGCTGGTCTGCCCAGCGAGCAGACACCACTTCCAGGCCCCTCTCCTCCCTCTTAACCGGGCCTCTGCCTCGCTCTGAAGCGTCAGAGTTAAACCCTGGCAGTCTGTCCACAGGGTTTAATCAGGCCCCATGCCAGGGCCAGATCATCCAGCCCAAAAGGCTGAGGGGACTCCAGGTGCACCAGTGCCCCAAGATTCCTGGTGCTGCACTAGAGTCAGCTCTGTCCCACATGGGGCAGAGAACCCCCTGTGGATGCCAGGCAGGCAGCTGGTGGGTGTGTGGAGGGTGCGGCTGGAAGGCGACAGCAAGCTGAACCTCACGCGTGACGCGGGGCCCCCAGGCTCCTGGACACGTGGAGCCCTTTCCAAAGTCACAGCCCAGGTTGGGTGGTAGCAGCTAGGACAGGCACCTGGGCCGCACGTGTCCAGGATTTATAGGAGGGCCAGCCTGGCATGGGCAGCGTCAGAGAGGTCACACACACAGAAGGTGGTTGTCCTGCAAGGTGAGGCTGGCTCAGAAGATGGATTCCAGAAATCTGTCTGCCAACACACCTTGCTCACACCCCCACACACCTCACAGCGACGGTCCGGCAGCCCTCTTCCCGAAAGCACTGACCGTCAAGAAACGTGCAGCGCAGCAGCCCAGGCCTTCACTGGCGCCCCCCAGGCGGCCGATGGCCGGTCACACACCTCGAAGGCACAGGCCATGGTCACACCCACAACTGTCAATTCAGGTGGCTGTTTTCCCTGTGACTTGGGGTTTCTCATCTGTGGAGGAGGCTCTTAATGACACAGCTCTCCCAGGAGGAGTGACCGCACACCTCAGCACCTGTCCTACAAGCACCTCTCAAGGTTGGCTCCCATCACGGTGAGGAAGGAGAGCTCCCACCCTCCCGGGTGGCCTCTGTCACCCTTCACCATGACTGCACTGAGTGGCCCTCAAGGGCAAAGAGCACAGCTCCCAGAGTGCCTGCCATAGCCAGGCAGGGGACCTAGCTGTGACAGGCACCTCCAGCCATGGACAGGACTGGCAAGGACCCAGCTGAAGAACCACCAGGAATATTCTGGCAGCCAGGAGACTTGGGAAGGGGAATTCTCTCTGGAAGCAGAGTCTTACCTTTCTTACCTTCTCCCAAGCCTAACTATGGACACCAGCCAAGGCAAGACCACTCAAAGCTCATCTGCACACATCTGGGCAGAGGGACTGTGCTGGCCACCGGTGGAACTCAGGGACCTCCAGCAGCAGAGAGAGCCAGCTGTGCACTTCCTGATCCCAAAGGTCCAACCCCACCCCTCAACAGCAAAGGGTCCCATTTCAGCACCTGGCAGGAGCACGCTGGGCCAGGAGACACACAGCTAAGTGTCTGTGGCTGGCACAGAGGCCAGCTCACACGTGCAGCAGCAGCACCCCTGGCTGTGACTTGTGGGCCCAGGCGCAGCGGACCCCCTGAGGCCAGAGCCTGCTCTTGAGCACTGCTGGGGGCGAGAGTGAAAGACAAGTCAGCCCTGTGGACACTGTGGTCCAGTTCTGGGAGGTGTCTTTTTATAAATTTATTTTTTATTTTGTGGGGTACTGGGAATTGAACTCAGGGACACTTGGTCACAGAGCCACATCTCAGCCCTATTTTGTATTTTATTTAGAGATAGGGTCTCACTGAGTTGCTTAGCACCTCGTTTTTGCTGAGGCTGGCTTTGAACCCATGATCCTCCTGCCTCAGCCTCCTGAGCCGCTGGCATTACAGGCGTGCGCCACCACACCTGGCCTGGACAAATGCCTTTTAATGGACTTTGTGTTAGGAACCTGGGGCTACAACATAAAAAGGGAAGGCCTTGTATCCACTCAAGAACGAGGAACTAGCAATGGAGCCTAACACTGCTCCAGAGGACCCTGGGGACAGCCAGGCTCAGACCCACAGTCCACCCCAAGTTTAAAGGGTGGGGCCTGACTGAAAAGGTGGAGCATCAAAAGGCAAGAGCTGGGGATGGAGCTCCAGGGTAGGGTTTGAACTTACCATGCAAGAGACGCCATCACCAAAAAGAAAAGTGGGCCAATAAAAATGGATAGAAATACAGCTGTGTAAGTGAGCGTGAGTGCAAGGCAGGAAGTAAAGGGAGAGGAGGCAGCCATTGCTCCCCTCACCCCATGGGCACCTAGCACCAGCCTCCACTGTCCCCTGGGCATCTTCCTGGAAGAAAGCTGGGCCCGAAGCTGGATGCTCCGGGAGCCGATGCCCAAGTCCCACTTTGCAGAGCACATTCTCGTGGGGCAAGCCACCCTGGGACTGCAGGAGGGTGGATCCACTGAGAGCCCTGCAGGCCGCCTGACCACTGGCTGTGCTGTATACGGAACGGGTCTTGCTTTGCGGAGCTGATCCCAGTGGCTCAGGAGGCTGAGGCAGGAGAATTGGGAGTTTAAAGCCAGCTTCAGCAACTTAGCAAGGCCCTATACCACTCAGTGAGATTCTGCCTGAAAATAGAATACAAAAAAGGGCTGGGGATGTGGATCAGTGGCTAAGTGTCCGTGGTTTCAATCCCCAGTACCAAAAATAAAATAAAGGCAGACAGAAGTCATAAGCCATCACCATTGTGAGGAATGTTTATGAACAGAAACCAGACCAGAGACCCTGTTCAAACAGAGATAAGGCTCTTCAACGCACAGGCCCGTACTGAGCTTTGACTCCTCAGCCAGGAAGAGCCACTAGATCTGTGATGACTGCTACATTTGCGATGACTGGGAATAAGCAGCAGAGAGAATCCTGGGGGATAGAGAGAAACAGATGACCCACATCCCAAGCATGGCCCTCTGATATTTGGGACAGAACCAATAGGAAGCCCAGCGTGGCTTGCCCACAGTTCAGGGAGACACCAGGAAACCCCAGGGATAGCTGCTATGGTTGTGGGCAACAACTCACCACTCCCACTCTGCTTGGGTTTTCCCATCCTTAAAAATCAGAGGCCAGACTATAGACTCCCTGCAGTCCTGTCCTGCTCTGCAGAGCTGGGAGCCAGACCCTAGGGTATCACTTATCTCCAGGGCTGGGGTAGGCCCAGGGAGCATCTTACCAGGAGGACAGAGCCTCAGGAGAAAAGTTCTGTGAGTATGCAGACTCCAGGTGAGAGCAGGTCACTGTGCACCTGCCCCTCCGCCCAGTCAGAGTATGAGTGCAGAGTCCAAATTCTGCCACTTTCTGAGTAATTTTGGACTTTCTGAGGCCTGGGCCTCAGCTTACCTGAGACTAAAGTGGGAATAATACCATGATGTCTGTGCTTACTATTTCCACCCATCAAATCAATGTATCAATGCTTTTTGTGCAAAATTCAACTTGCAAGTGTCACAGGCAGGGGTTGGAAGGAAGAGGAAGCTGAGGGAGAAAGCTGCAGGCTCCTGGGGGTACACAGCAGGCCCCTCCCCACTGTAAAAGGCAGCCACTGTCTGCTGCCTCTGCTGGGCTTTGCCCTGCTCCTGCCCGGTCTTCCACAGAAGCCTGCTCCAGAGCCAGGGCAAGGCCATAGCTGAGGACCGGAGGGAGGCCAGGCTTCGACCAGTGCACACAGCCTGCCTTTGTGCTCACAAAAGGGTATCAGCTTTGGGGTAATATCATCCTATGCGCCATATACAAACCTTCCATTCTCCAGGGAGGAAAACAACTTAAAGGGGAAAGTACATAACCAGGTAAACGCACCACTTTCAACAGACCTCAAACATATTTCAGGGGCTAAGTTGTTGGGTCTTTTGGATAAAAAAAAAAAAAAAAGCAGTTTTACACTCTCCTTGCTCCCTCTCAATTAAACCCAGGAAACTGGTGTGAATTCCGCACAGATTCCCAGGAGGCAAGCCCCTCCCCCACCCTCCATGAAAGAGCTAGCCTGGGGACATTCGGTGTCCTTTCCGGCTAAAGGTCCTACCGTGTCACTAGAGAGCGGCAAGGACTCTTTGTACCCACAAAGCCCTGCATGAGCCACATACTGAGGGCTGCAGAACCAAAAGCCAGGAGGAGTGGCCCAGGTGCGGAGAGCAGGGAACAAGAATGGCATAATGCCTGCTTCCCGACTTCACCCAAGGGACCAGCAATCTGGCCAAAGCCCCTTCTCAGCCGAGGAAAGCGTGCCCCGCCGCAGAGCAGCTGGCCTTGATGCCAGGAGAGACGGGAGGACGAGAAGGGGATGATGAGGGGTCCCCAGGTCTGAAAAGGCCAGGAGGGCAGCCCAGGGCCCAGCGGGGGTTCCGGATCCAGAGGCAGGGGGCCTCCAGGTCCAGCAGCCAGTGAGGAAGGAGGGCTCGGGTCCAGCAGAAGGACGGCGCTGTGGGCGCAAAGGAGGTCGCGGTCCCTTTCACCAGGGACCCACCCAGTGGGCCACACCCCCGCCGCCCGCCGCGCTCACCCGGCTCCTGCCGCGCGCCGACCGAGCCGTCCCGGTGCAGCAGGAGGTCCGCGGTGTCGCGGATGCGGCGCCGGCCGCCGGGCGCGCCCCGCAGCCCGCGGCAGGCCTGGAAGCACACGGCCCAAGCCTGCTCCTCGTTGATGGGCTGCTCGTACACCTTCAGCACCTCCTCCAGGGACAGCTCCCAGGGCGCCCGCCGCGCCGCCGCCCCCGCGCGCTCCGGGGCTGCCGCGCCGCCGCCGCCGCCAGCCCGGGCCATGGCCGCCCATCATCGCCGCCCGCGCGAGCGCCGGGTTTCCATCACAGCCGCCGGGCACCGCCGAGCGCGGGGCGGGTCCGCGCCGCCCGCGTGCCGCGTCATCCCGGCGGCCCCGCCCACCCCGGCGGCCGCAGGTGGAGCCGCCGGTGCGCAGGGAGGCTGCGCGGCGTGGAGGAGGACCAGCGCGCTGGGGCGGGAGGGAGGCAGTAGTTGGGGACCAGAAGGGGAACTTGAGCCCAGCGGGCAGTGTTGGAGAGGGAGGGGCTCGGGGAACTGGGGCCAGCGCAGGACTGAGGGTGGGGCGCTGACCCAGGCGACCCAGGCCCCGGCCAAGAGACTCCTTCCTGATGGAGACATTCTGGAAGACACCCCACTCTCCCCAACCCCGTGCTCAACGGGTCCCCGCCCCGGCTCAGCCCACTCTGGGCTCACTGTAGGCTGGGCTCCTCTAGGCCGGCCTCCGGCGGTGGACACACTGCAGTGATGGGGGGCGGGGCTCAGCAGTTTGGGTGCCAGGTTTCCCACCCTGAGAAGGGAGTCATACCGCTGTGAACTCTTTGGAGGGCCTGAAGCAAGGTGACCTCAGGAGACTGCTGGGGTTGGTCAGGGTGAAGGTGACCCGGGCTTCGGGCATGAAACACTTAATACATGACCCTTTCTAGGAGGGAAAGTGTGTCTGCTTCCATCTCTCCACTGTCCCTGAGACAGTAGACACACGAAGACACAGGGTTGGCCAGAGATAACAGCACCCACCCACTCTGTTTCAGGTCCCCTACCCACAAGTCAGGTGGTGTGCAAGCCAGGGACCTGCTTTGTTGGGGTTGATCCAGAAACCTCTCAGTGGTAGTCGGCCAGGAAATGCAAGTGGGAAATCATCAGGGAGCACAAAACCCAGGTTCCTTCCCGGGACTGGAGATCTGACCAGGGCTGGGGTGAATCCTGGGCCTCTGGAGTTCCTGGTGATTCTGGGCAGCTGGGTTTAAAAACCTCAGCAACAGGGCAATCTCACCTTGTTTGAAGGGAACTTATGGAGGGTAGGTTTTCACCTGGGGCCCCACTGTCGGATCATCCCTTCTGTATTTTTAATCTCAAAGCAGAAAGGAGGGGCTGGGGATGTGGCTCAAGCGGTAGCGCGCTCGCCTGGCATGCGTGCGGCCCGGGTTCCATCCTCAGCACCACATACAAACAAAGATGTTGTGTCCGCCAAGAACTAAAAAATAAATATTAAAAAATTCTCTCTACCTCTATCTCTCTCACTCTCTCTTAAAAAAAAAAAGCAGAAAGGATTTTGTTACATGTGTCATATTTTTAAAATCTTTTTGTTTGGTTTATTTATTTATTTATTTTTAGTTGTTGATAGATATTTATTTTGTTTATTTACACACTGCTCTGAGAATCGAACCCAATACCTCACACATGCCTGGCAAATGCGCTACCACTGAGCCCCAGCCCTGTTTTATTTATTTTTTATGTAGTTCTGGGGATTGAACCCAGGGCTTCATGCAGGCTAGGCAAGTGCTTTACCACTGAGCCACCTCCACAGCCTGATACATGTAAGTGTGACTAGAGTTTTTATAATCAATTGTGGGGTGACTTTCACATCTTTCCCTGTTCCCCAAGCTTATGAGACATGAGATGCAGGAGCACTGGTACTTTGTAGAAGGAAAGTGGAGATGAGAGAAGGGAGAGAGAGATGGCACAGCCTGGGGCTCAGGCTCAGCTTCCCTAATCCTGCACCCATGAAAGGAAGGAATTTCAAGGGTTGCTTGTGAAGGGTGGGCCACATAGCTTCTGTGAAGTGTCTTGTGTAGAAGAGAATGCCCACACCGTGTCAGGTGGCTCCACGGGAATCGAGACTTGGGATCGCCTCACCTCTTACCACCACCTCAGTGGAAGCTGGGTGTGGCTGCACTGTAGCTGGGCTGCTCCCCGTCTTCCTGGTGGCAGGAGCATCCCTGGAGGTGCAGCCACAGTCATGGGAAAGGGTGGAGATGGTGATTTCCCTAGTGGGAAGGAGGGACGCCTGCCCTCTTTCTTGGAGGTTTGAATGTCCCTAGCTGACCACAGACTGCAGGGTTTCCTTGGATGAGCAGAAGCCTCCAGCAGCTTCCTCACTTGGCCAGGGCCTGGTAAGACTCACGCCTGGCTTCCTCAGGGGCCCTGGGGGCCACCTACTTATAAGGGTACTGTGACCCTTTATCACCCAGCTTCCATCACGGCCTCAGGGACCCCTGTGCGCTTCCTCAGATGTCAGCCAGCAAGATTTAGAACTAAGGAAAAAAAGTGAAACTTAGGTTCTATTTACTTATGTCCTGAGGATTTGTTACTTATCTAAAAGTTCATCCCCCTGTGCATGACCAAACGAGGTAGCAGAAGTGTTGGCCAGTGCTGGAGACGCTACTGACACATCCCCAAAAGGACCAGATGAGACCCAGAAATTGGCCCAAGGTGAGAAGTCTTGTGACTTTTTTTTTTTAGTTGTAAATGAACAGAGCACCTTTCTTTCTTCCTTTCTCTCTCTCTCTCTCTCTCTCTCTCTCTCTCTCTCTCTCTCTCTCTCTCTTTCTCTCTCTCTCTCTCTCTCTCTCTCTTTTTCTTTTCTTTTTTCTTTCTTTCTCCAGGAATTGAACTCAGGAGCACTTGACCACTGAGCCATACCCCCAGCTCCATTTTGTAATTTATTTAGAGACAGGGTGTCACTGAGTTGTTTAGCACCTCGCTTTTGCTGAGGCTGGCTTTGAACACATGATCCTCCTGCCTCAGCCTCCTGAGCCACTGGAATTACAGGTGTGTGCCACCGAGCCCGGCTACCTTTATTTATTTATTTATTTATTTATTTATTTATTTATGTGTGGTGCTGAAGTTTGAGCTCAATGCATCACACGTGTTAGGCAAGCACTCTACCACTGAGCCACAGCGCAGCACATCTTCTGACTTCTTCCTCTTTTTTTTTTTTGTTGTAGATAAACAAGTTCCTTCCTTCCTCCCTCCCTCCCTCCCTCCTTCCCTTCCTCCCTCCCTTCCTTCCTTCCTTCCTTCCTTCCTTCCTTCCTTCCTTCCTTCCTTCCACGGGGGATTGAACTCAGGGGCACTCAACCACTCACCGTATCCCCAGCCCTATTTTGTATTTTATTTGAGATAGAGTCTCCCTGAGTTGCTTAGTGCCTGGCTAAATTGCTGAGGCTGGCTTTCAACTAGTGATCCTCCTACCTCTGCCTCCGGAGCTGCTGGGATTACAGGTGTGTGCTACCACATCCAGCCTGTCTTCCGACTTCTTAATTGTGGGTTTGCAGCAAGAAATATTTCAATCTTGTAGAGTGGAGGCTGAGGGTGACTTTTTTTCTTTGTGGTACTGAGGATTGAACCCAGGTTCTTGTGCATGCTAGGCAAGGGCTCTACCCCTGAGCTACATCCTGTTTTTGTTTTTTATTTTGAGATGGGGTCTTGATAAAGTGCCCAGGCTTGTCTTAAACTTGTGATCCTCCTTCCTTAGCCTCCTGAGTGGCCACCATGCTCAGCTCTGGGAGTGACTTTTAAGCTAATGATCAGAACTGAAGAGTAAATCTACTCAAAACCAGAGTAATTGGCCCATGACTCCAGCAACTAGATGCAACTGAATTATGTCCTGTGGTGAGCTCTCGATACCGTGATGAGTTCCACAGTTAGTCTCTGAAGTCAAAGTTAGCCATTTTCTCCAGCTGGGAGAAGCACTAGAGCTAAAATATTCATTTTTGCCCATCAAGAAAGAAACACAGGATCTCAGAATCAAAGAAATATCAGTTCTTCCATAACTTTTACTTGCCATCTGGATTTTAGAAATAAATCAGTTTATTTCCAGCTATTAAATAGAGATTGGGGATGGGTACATGGCACATGCCTGTAATCCCTGCAGCTCAGGAGGCTGAAGCAGGAGGATCGCGAGTTCAAAGCCAGCCTCAACAAGTTAGCAAGGCCCTAAGTGCCCCTGAATTCACTCCCCAGTACTGAGAGAGAGAGACTGGGGCTGGGGCTCAGTGGTAGAGTGCTTGCCTAGGCACTGGGTTCGATCCTCAGCACCACATAAAAATAAATAAATAAGTAAAATGAAGCGTTGTGTCTTTTTTTTTTTTTTGAGAGAGAATTTTAATATTTATTTTTTAGTTATCGGCGGACGCAGCATCTCTGTTTTGTACGTGGTGTTGAGGATCGAACTCGGGCCACACACATGCCAGGCGAGCGCGCTACCGCTTGAGCCACATCCCCAGCCCGCATTGTGTGTTTCTACAACTAAAAATATATTTAAAAAAAAAAAGACAGGACTGAGCTGGGTGCAGTGGCGCATAGATGGAATCCTAGCACCCCCAGTGACTGAAGCAAGAGGGTTGCAAGCAAGGCCAGCCTGGGCAACTTGTGAGACTGTCTCAAAATCAAAAATAAAAAGAGTTGGTGTGTGGGGCTGGGACTGTGGCTCAGCGGTAGCCCACTTGCCTGGCATGTGTGAGCCACTGGGTTCAATTCTCAGCACCATATATAAATAAATAAAATAAAGATCTATCAACAACTAAGGGAAAAAAATTTAAAAAAATAAAAATAAAAAGAGTTAAAGAGTTGGTATGTAGCTCAGTAGTAAAGCTCCCTGCTCAAGCCCCAGTACAAAAAAAAAAAAAAAAAAGGTTAACTGAGAGTATAATAAAAATTGGTGTAGGTCAATCATTAACCCAACTTGGAAAGCTATTCCTATATTTATAGGGTCACTTGTAGCTTACTTCATTTCCAGTAAATTAGAAAATAGGGTGGTATCCATGGCTCTGCCTGGGGACACACTAGAATCTCTTAGTGCTTGGAACTGGATCATCACTTTGCTGAGTTTCTTATTTGCAAATACACTCCCAAAATAGTCACCTTTGGTGTGAGCTGTTCTGCTCACACTGTTCACAGCACCAGGTACCCCAGAAAGCCTGGAGAAAGAGCTGTGAAAGGCCCACCTCTGTTCCTGGGGGGGCCACCGTGGGGAAACAGGCCCAGTGCTGGACATGAGCTTCGAGCGCCCCATTGGTTGCCTTTTTGCATGCTCTGCGCAGAGGTTTGAGAAGATACTACACGTCTTCTCCAAGGAAACTGTCGATCTTGGCCCCTGGGGGGCATTGCCAGGGGAGGGCTATGAGCTGACCACTGGGCTGGCACAGGTTGGAAAGCTCTGGGGATTTTCCTATGAGCATCTTCGCAGATATAGAGGCTGGAGGCCAAAAGGTGATGTGGGGACTGGGTCCCCAGGTGTCCTGTGGCTACAAGTAGAGACAGTTCTGGGGCACTGAATTCAGGAGTGTAAGACTCCTGGTGTAGCAAGAACAGCCGCCGTGCCTGGGCACAAATGTCAGAGTGAGCCAGGCAGGGACAATTCGAGAGCAAAGACCCTGTGCACCAGCCCGGACACAGGTGGGATCGCTTCGCCTGTGGGGAGTAGAGGCAGAGATCCTTGGGCCCACACCTCATGAAGTCAAGTCCAGATTCAAAAGCAGGTCGGCTCCTCCCCAGGGATTCTGTGCACACCATGCAGTGAGCAGCCCAGCCTTTGCCAGGACTCAGAGGCCCTGAATGCATTCTTTGTCATGCTCCCTGCAGCCAGGCAGGGCCAGAGTTCAGGGGTCTGAGAGGAAAAGCTGAAATGTGAGAAGCTGGGGTTTTGTGCCTAGGTTTATTTTGGGATAATGAAAAAAGCTGTGAATCCCAAGGGATGCCAGGTAGAGCCCGGCTGTGTTGGTTTCTGGAAGGAAACCCAGGACAGCTGGGAGGAAGGGCTGTGGGAGCCAGGGTGCAGGGTTTCTGGGCTGGTGGAGGGAAGTGTACCTGAGCAGAGGGAAGAGCCAGAGAAGAGGACGAACTGTTGCCACCACGAGGGTCCAGGGCAGAGCCAAGATGAAGGTGGAACAGTGGACACACTTGGGGTGGGGTGGAGGGTCTTCTTCCTCCATTCCTGGCATCTCCACCCTCCCTGCAGCTCAGGATCAAAACTCTCAGCTTGGGGTCCTGGCAACTCTGGGGGTTGAGGCAGGTGGATCTCAAGTTCAAGGCCAGCCTGGAAAACTTAATGAGACCCTGTCTCAATGTAAAATAAAATAAAAATGGCAAAAGAAAAAAAAACTCCCAGACTCTCTCATCTAGCAAGGTCAACCTCCAAAACAAAGAGCTTCTGAGAATCGGGACACCCTGGTTGTCCCTGCTCCTGCTGGTCGCCCTCAGCCTGTGGTTGGCCTGCGAGCCCAGAGCCATGCAGGGCGCCTGGGAGCCCAGATGGCCCCTGCCCTCCACCCCAGCTCTCAGCACCCGCAGTTCTGAGTCCCCCATGGCACTGGCCGCGTGTCCTCAGACAAGCACGTCCTACTTGTGTGTCTGCTCCCAGGGGCCTGGTCACTCCAGGAGGGCAGAGCTGTGGCCTGTTTTGCTTTTACTGCGGCAGCATCCTCAGGCCGGAACAGGCTGGTGCTGAGAAGGGCCCAGGGGAGGGGCGGACGGGATGCCAGGGAGGGGAGCGCCGACTGGGCAGAGGGAGCGCTTCTCCTGCCCGTGTGCGTGTGCGCAGCCCTCGACCGTCTGGTGAGCAGTCTGCTGCTCTCACTTCATTTATGCTCACAGAATCCCACCAGGGAGGTAGAGCAGGCACCATGATCTCTATTCCCAGATGAGAAGCGAGGTGTAGATTGGCTACCTGTGAGTTCACAGGCGAGGCCAGCTTTCCTCATTCTCAATACAGGGATCTCTCTGGAGGCCATGCCCACAGGCCACACTGGCCCACTCTGCTTTGGTAAATAAAGTGTGATGGGCACAAAGGCATCTCCAGCTGTGACCTGTCATCTGTGGTGGCTGTCATGCTGCTGTGCTGCAGCTGAGAGGCTGTGCTGGAGACTGTGAGCCTCAGAGCTGAAGTACTCGCTCGCTCTCTCTGCCCTTTGCAGGGGAGTACGCAGACTGTACGGGCGGCAGTAGACCTCCGAGTGCTGCTCAGGTGCTCAGAGGTCCCAGGCGCCCTCTGTCAAGGTTCCTATCGTGACACCCACCGGGTGCATTCTCCCCTTCATACCACGCTAACACAACAAGGGTGCAGAAACAGTGGTGGTTATGTGGGTTCCTGGGGCTCCCAGCACAGACAAGCAGCAGAGATGCATCTTCCTGCAGTTCTGGGGGCCGAAGCCAGTGTCTGCAGAGCCAGCTCCTTGGGGGATCTGGGGTGCTCTGTGCCTGGGGCTGTCTTCACCTCTCACTGCTTCTTCTCTGTGTCACCTTTTATTCTGGCCCTTACTTGGACATTGTCACTAGACTTGGCTGGTTTTGTTGTTGTTTTAGGGTTTTGGGGGGACTGGGGACTGAGCCCTCCTGCACAAGCTCTAAGCCTCTTTAAAAAAACCTTAGAGGCCGGGTCTCAAACTGTCCAGGCTGGCCTCAGACTAGTGGTCCTCCTGCCTCTCCCTCATGAGTAGCTGGGATGATGGTCATGGCCACCACCACTCCTGGCAGGAGACAGGATCGTGCTGCAAGCACCGGAGGGTAGGCCCCTGAACTTCCACAGAGGGAGAGGCTCATGGCCAAGCAGTCAAGGCCAGGAGGGTGTGCGTGGTCTTGACCCAGGCATGCAGTACTTGGAACACATCCCCTGCTGTGAAGACAGCCTTCAAACCTCCAGGAGTGTGTGCACTCTAAGGTTGCCTTGCTAAAAGAAGATGAGGGTCGTTAGACAATTGGGGATGCTGCATAGGCCAGGAGCCATCAGGGTGAACTGAAGGGAAGGCTGCATCTACATGCATGAGTGCTTGTGGGGAGAACACACAGGTTATTTATTTGAGGCAGGATCTCAAACTCCTGGACTCAAGTAATTCTCCTGCCTCAGCCTCCTGAGGAGCTGGGACCACGGCCTGTGAAAGTGCAGATTATAAAGCTGCAATTAAAACTATTTGTGCTAGGGATGGTGGTGCACACCTGTGATCCCAGAGACTCAGAGGCTAAATCAGGAGGACTGCAAGCTGGACCCTGGCTGGGCAACCTAGCAAGACTGTAGAAAGAAAGAAGGAAAGAAAGAAGGAAGGAAGGAAGGAAGGAAAAAAAGAAAAAGTATTTGTAAAAAAGAAAGCCTGGGCTGAGTGCTGTGGCACACCTGTAATCCCAACAGCTCAGGAAGCTGAGGCAGGAGGATCAAAAGTTCAAGGCCAGCCTCAGCAACTTAATGAGGCCCTAATCAACTTAGCAAGACCCTGTCTCAAAAAATAAAAAGGTCTGGGGATGTGGCTCAGTGGCAAAGTGCCTCAGAGTTCAATTCCCAGTAGGAAAAGAAAGAAAAAAGAAAGAAAAAAGAAAGTCTGAAAGAAAGACACACAATGAAACATTAGTTTCTATTGTGATTTTATTTTATTTGATTTTTTAGTATTAATGCTGGTAAAGATGGCGCTTCTCTTCCAGGAGCTGAGGTCCATGATGCACTGAATGGTGCGAACCATCACCTCCAATCCCTGTGAATGGCGCAAACTTTGAATGGCGCACCTCCAATCCCTGAAGGGGCTCGATCTCTCAGCCAATGAAGAAGTAACAGCCCACTCGCCCTGCTCCTCCTCATCCTGCGTTGAGCCCATAAATATCAACACCCTGTTCTCTCTTAATCTCTTGCTCTCCTCCCTCCCCTCCCCCTCCCCCCTTCTCTTTTGTGACTGCCTGCTACACAGGTAAAAGGTTGTTTTGGCTCCTTGAGTTTATGGAGCTTTTCCACTGTTCCTACATTAGGGATTGAACTCAGAGGTGCTTTACCACTGAGCCACATCCCCAGACCTTTTTAGTTTTATTTGTTTTATTCAGAGACAGGGTCTCACTAAGTTGATGAGGCTGGCCCCGAGCTTGTGATCTCCTGCCTCAGAGTCACTGGGATCATAGATATGTGCCACTGTGCCCAGCTTCTTCTGTGATTTTGAGTGGATTAATGTATTTGTGTACCTTTAGATTTATTTGTCAATAAACACATATTGACACTTTACTACTGAGCTGTATCCCCAGCCCTTTTTATTTTTTACTTTGCTAAGTTGCCCAGTCTGGGCTGGAACCTGCACCTTCCTGCCTTAGCCTCCGGATTCTCTGGGATTGTAGACCCAATATATATCGACTCTTCCATAGTGGAGGAAAAGTCATTTTCAAAATGGAAGAAAAGAGGGTCGTGGCTCAGCGGTCGTGGCCACAGCACACACACCCCCTCCCCGCTGTCCAGTATAGCACTCGCCTAACACGAGGTAGGCACTGGGTTCAATCCTCAGCACCATAAATAAATAAATAAAATAAAGTTATTTAAAAAAATGGAAAAGTTTTCACTTCTCATTCTGAGATGATGAACACAAAGCAGAAAAAGGTTATAGAGGTGTGGACTTGTGTTGAGTGGGCAGTGACTGAGGCCAGACTTTCCTGTCACCTGGGTTTCCTGTGGCACTTGTGATGATGGGCAGCGGAGACCTTCATCCCCACTGAACCCACAACACCCGGGTGCCTGGCCGCAGTGCTGGGTTTATTGAATGTTCTCTTCTGCTGCCTTGGGACCCTTCAAGGTCAGGCTTTCCAGTGTTCTTTTTGAGGTGCAAGCTGTGCTTCAGCCATCTGCCTGGCAGTGCCACCTCCTAGCAGGTCCTGTCCCCTCCTCCCGGCCTGCTGCACTCTGAGCTGTGGCTCTGTGTGCTGGCTTCCTCCTGGGAAGAGGAGGAAGAGCAAGAGCAAGGCAGCAATGGCTGTCTCAAGCCTGTCCTGAGTGCTAGCCTTGCTCTTGTACACACTGTCCACACCTCTGCCTCTCAGATGGCTCAATTCTGGGAATCCACCGATTTTACTGGGTGGCTGACAGTTCCCCCCCACACCCATCCTCTTTCCTAGTATTGATGACTAGTGTTGCTGAGAAAGAAGAAAGTTATAGAATTTAACTGAAATGCTGTGTGTGCACATATGCACCATGTCTGCACATTCACATGGGGTGTCCCGGCAGGGGGACGGGCCGTGCACGTGGAGACATCTGCGGTGGTACCCACAATGTCCCAGGTGCAGGTGGAGAGCACGGAAGGAACCTAGACCCACCCACAGCACACACACCCCCTCCCCGCTGTCCAGTATAATGGCCTCAAGGAGCTTCCCTTATCTACAGCTGTTCCCTACCCACCCTCCTGCCCCCCCAAATGAGGCCACCTCCAAATTTCCTCCCATGACCTCACCGTGCTAAACCTATAAAACCCAGACCTTGATGAAGCCTGCTGCCATTTTCCCCTTGAAAATGGGCCCCTCTGTTGTTCAATAAAGCACTGCTGATCTGCTGAGTCTGTCTTCATTTCTTTTATTTGGTGCTGGAGATTGAACTTAGGATCACTCGACCACTAAGCCACATCCCAGCCCTGATTTGTATTTTATTTAGAGACGGGGTCTCACTAAGTTGCTTCATGCCTCGCTTTTTGCTGAGGTTGACTTTGAACTTGTGCTCCTCCTGCCTCAGACTCCCAAGCGGCTGGGATCACAGGCGTGGCCACCATTTCTTTTTCTTTTTGTATTCTCTTTCATTTGCTTTCAAACATGGCTGCTCTTGCTGCTGAAGCTGGCCAGGTCCAGCTTTTTCGGTGCTATTGTAGTGGCATCCCCTCCTCCACAGAAAATCTTAATTGTCACGTTCCTCGTGACTTAAAACCCCCAGGGTCACTGCAGGGGGACTGGGCTGCATGAAATAACCAGAGACAGAGATACCTTTTTCTTTGGGTCCGGTGATGGCTCCTCTGACCTTCGTGGTCCACGGAAAGGAAGAAAGGAGCAGATGCTGAACCCTTTTTACTGGAGAGAAGCCATTCAAATGAGGCCAGGGGTCAGGTTTCAGGGGCTGAGTCTAGCTTGTGATGTCTGCTGTCAGCAGGTTGACAGACATCTAGGAAGGCCACACCCAAGGGCAGAGCAAGAGAAGGGGACACACAAAGGGAGCTTCCATGGAACATTCTATCCCAAACAGAGCCAAGGGGTGGGATTACCAAGGAACAGGGGAGCGCAGCTCTACCCCAGGGTGTGCCTATCAGAAGACTGGCTTTGCTATCTGGGTGGGGTGGGTGGGGGACTGAGTCACAAGTCCTGGCCCTCCGTGTCAGACTACAGTGGTCTTTCAGATCCCTGTGTTGCATCAGGACTGGAAGGCGCGGTACCTCAGTGGGGCTCCCCACAATTAAGCTTCTCCAGAAATCTTCGCCATAATTGATCTTCGGACTATCAGCAAAAGAACCGCTTCAAAGGAGTTCAAAGTGGTTAAGCCCCCTGTTTCCTGTTGCTCTCACTTGTTTGGTCTTAGACCTGAGAGAGATGGGCACTCCGGTGCCGAACACCCCTTTGCTAGTTTTTCATCAACATTATGGACTCTCTAGTGCAGTAACGATGTCGATGATACTTTGCAGACGTGTGATTGCAAATGCAAAGTGTGAGAAGAAAGACAGATCCTTTCACAAGGCCTCCCCTGTGCTGAGCTCCACAGAGAAGAGGTCACCAACTGGGCTCCCTGGTAGCAGCTGGCCGGGAGGGAAGAAAGGGGAGAAGCAGCTCCCCCCTTCTCAGGTGCTGTCCTTAAGGGCTAACCTGCCCAGAACAGTGAAAGGAAAAAAAAGGGAAGCCGCTTTTGTGTGAACTTCTTCAGAGTGTGAGCTTCTGAGCCCCTCCCCTGACACGCTGGGTATCAAGTTCTGGAACTGCCAGAACCTGGGGTTCAGGGGCACTAGACAGCTGACAGCCGCTGCTCTCCAGGGAGGGACAGCCTGGTCAGTTACCTCATGTTACTGACAATAAGTCTCTTGCGTGAGATTCGGGGTGTGGCGTGGTCTTTGGACTCTGCAAGTGTCCTTTCACCGATGCCAGTGACTCAGATTAGGCTCTCCCATTGACCTCCATCTCTCTTTGGGGATCTGAGCTGCTCTGGGATCCTATACTCTGTCCTAGACCATCCTCACCTTGAACTCACCTTCCATCTCACTACGTGCCGGCTAATTCAGATAAGTTCCCCTGCCTTTGATCAACTCAAATGACCTGCCAGTTCAGGAAGTGACCGTTGAACGTCCAGCACTCCTAGGGTTCCCATTCACAGGCACCCCCAACCATTGATTGAGTCCATGGGCCCAGAAGGCCCCCCCACCCCCAGCAAAAGATCTCTCTCTGGGTCTCAGTTCTGTAAAGGATGATGGAAAAGCTCCGTAAACTCAACAAGCCAAAACAACCATTTACCTGTCCGAGATTTTATTAGCAGGACCATAGCAGAAGAGGAGAGAGAGAGAGAGAGAGAGAGAGAGAGAGAGAGGGGAAGGGAGGGGGAGGAGAGGGGAGGGGGAGGAGAGGGGAGAGGGAGGAGAGGGGAGGAGGGAGGGGGAGGGGAGGGGGAGGGGGGAAGAGAGGGGGGAGAGACAGGGGGGAGAGACAGGGGGGAGAGGGGGGAGAGGGGAGAGTAAGAGAGAGAGGGAGAGGGGAGAGTAAGACTGTAAGAGAGCCAACATGGACAGGGTGTTGATACTTATGGGCTTCACGCAGGATGAGGAGGAGCAGGGCGAGTGGGCTGTTACTTCTTCATTGGCTGAGAGTTCACGCCACTTCAGGGATTGGAGGTGCGCCATTCAAAGTTTGCGCCATTCACAGGGATTGGAGGTGATGGTTCACGCGCACTGCAGTGCGTCATGGACCTGAGCTCCTGGAAGAGAGGCACTCCGGGCGCCATCTTTACCAACAAGTTCCTCCTTTGGCTCAAAGCCCTGGTGCTGAGAACCTGGTGGGCCTTAGCCCCAGCTGCAGCCCTGAGGCCGTGAGGACTCCCAGAGTGGTCAGCTCTTCCTCACTCAGTGAGAGAAGACACAGAGGGATGCCTGTGCTGCTCACTACCAGCTCTCTCTTGCCATGGGTGCAGCCTCCTCTGCCATCCCCTTGGACACCCCTTGGGGTGCCTTTTAGCAAATTTAGACTCACTCCTTTTTATCCCTGACTTAAAGGTGTGAAAACTAATTCACTCTGCAACCAGATTGGGCCCTCTATACCTTAGACAATGGTTCCAAATGGTCACTTAAGGGCACTCTAGATCCCAACATTTTGAGGGACCTTTTTAACTTTTGTGAGCGCTTGGGAGATGAAATCCCCCTCTGCTCAGGTCTTCTCTTTCCTTCCACCCCTCTGCTCCTCTTGTTCTCCAGCCCAGGTTCCGCTGGCTCTGGATACCCCCCTTCTCAACCTCAGGACCCTCCCAAAACCCCAGACTTTGACCCCGCTGACGAGCCCCTCCCTACCACTCTCCACCTTCTGCTCCGACCCCTCCCGGCCTCCCTCACCTACTTTCAGTCACCCTTTACCTGCTCTGGCTCTTGCACGGACCCCTCTACCCAGCTCACCCCTCGGCTTCCCCTCTGTGAAGTAGCAGGGTCACAGGGAGTTGTTCAGGTACCCGTCCATTCTCCCTTAGTGACCTCTCCCAAATCAAAAGAAGGCTAGGGTCCTTCACCTCTCATCCTTCAGGGTACACTCAGGAATTGGAATACCTAACCCAGTCGTAGGATCTGCTTTCCCTGATGTTCATAGGGTCCCATCCGACCCTCTCCTCCCTGAGGAACTCAGGCACATTTGGGAGCAGGCCAAACCTCCCCTCTCACCCAATTGGCACTGAGGTAGTCCCTGATGGTGACTCCAACTGGGACTATAATTTGGCTGGAGGGATCACTAGTAGGAACCGATTCATTACCTGCCTCATGGCAGGACTAAGAAAATCGGCCCATAAAGCTATGAGGAACTCCAAGAGGTTATTTGGACAGAAATGAAAGCCCCTCAGTATTCTTGGTCTGCATTACAAAGGCCCTTTTACAGTTCACCTACCCAACCCTGAAACCCCAGACAGGAGACAACTACTAATGACCTATTTCTTCTCTGCTGGGTTTCTGTTCTCGCGACTAAAAGGCTCAGGGGTCACTCTAGTTAAACTGGGCTGACTGGGCTGCACGAAATAACCACAAGAGA